ACAAAGTGAAGCTCGCGCCTGGGCTGAGCACCGGTTTCAGTCCAGCTGTGGTTACACGGCAAATAGTGATATGAGCGAAGAAATGAAGGCACCAAGTGTTCAAACAGAATTTTATGGAAGAAGTCTCGATTTACTCATTCATGTGAAACTAAGACAGATCAAAGGTTTAAAACGAGAACATGTCCGAAGAGAAGGAAGCAGGATGACCCAGCCAAATGAAGGGGGGGGAATTCATTAGGGAAAAGGCTATGTGAGTGCCGGAGATGCATGATTGACAGGATTGAGGCATCCAAGCCTCGACGATGAAACGTTGAACGGTAACCGAGCTTAGTAGTAGAGCAGCGACTTAGGTAAGATTTTTGAAGGAAGGGCTGCGAGTGCCGACATCGCAATAGGGAAGCCAAGCAATATCTTTACGTACATGAGTGGACTTCTTACGCATAATGATACCTTTATGACGCCTTTGGCTTGTCGTGTGGAGAGCACAACACTTCTCCCTTTTGAGTTCGCTTTTTTAATACTCTTCTACTTGTATTGCCTCTTTTGCCGTATTGGTTTTCATCTAACATCAAGAGCCATCCACTTGCTGGATGTAGCATACGTAAAATGAAGACAAATATCTATTTCAGTGGTGTGTACTATATTCGTAGCAATTCTGCGTATAGGTGATTAGAAAGGAGCATTCAAGGCTTATGGCGCTCCAAGGGGTAGAAAGAATACAGCGCCGCAGATCGCATACAAATTATAGTGGCAGACCGGCGGTGTTTTCTTTCCACCGCATGGCGCTCCCAAATTATGATCATCTCTTCTTCTGCGTATAAACGGAACTCCAAAAAGAACGAATAGTGAAGTATAGGGTGCTACGTCTTGCTCCATTCATGTGAAAACTTACTAGTATATGGTGTAGCACTGGTGGCTGCTCTCCCTAGAATGCTTCTAACTAAGCCAAGGCGGCAGTGAATGATCTCTGCATGATCCGGCTCAGCGCCTCAGAAAAACCTGAAGCCCATATGACGTGACAGAGCAGTGAGCTCGATGCAGCCCACAAGGAACTATTGCAGTGATAACCCAACATTAAGCACTACGGGTTGGAGAAGTAAGACATAAAGGTAGATGGTCGAAAGCCTAAAGCATTTTGCTCGGCGATTGATTCAAACAAAGCAATGGTATTGGCGGGCTCAAGCTTCGGCTGGGGATTTGTGCCGAGGACGGCAGAGTTGAGTTGGATACTCTCTCCCTGCTTGATATGGCAGCCCGGATTGTGATTTTGTGACAGGTAAGAAAAGATCACTCACCTGGTTAAGCTCCCCACGGCTCGTAGTAAGACACAGAATCGTAGGCTCCTAATGGGTCGGTTTACGATGGACCATGTCCGAGTATTTGTGTGTCGAAATCATGTGTCAAATTGATGAAGTCAAGATGACTTGATTGCCTCACAAGCCGCTTGGCAGGTTTCTTGTGTTTTTGGTGGCTAACTGCTTTGAAACAGGTAAAATTGTCTCATCACTCTAGGGACGAAGTTATGACCATCGTAGCACACACATCCTACGGAGAATTTGAAACGCATCTTACTGACGCTACTGAAAAGTGCCAGCACCCAAGCTGCCTCGTATTTTAATTGGCGGCTGTGACAATCTTGCACCTCGACACTAAGCATGCTAACGGCAATGACAGCACGCCGGCGTAAGTCAAGGGAGGCTGGACGGGTAATACTCAGATTGATAGAGTATTAGTACGGAGAACACCCCTGCTGCCGCTCTTTTGGTACGTGGCCCAGTAAACTAGCCTCGAGATCTGCGGCGCTGGCCGAGATGTGCCGATCGTTTAGTCCTGTTTTAATTTCATCTTGTGAGGCGTAACCGGCTCATGATGCGGACGGTGGCTTGCGTACTATGTACTATACCAGATTGCCAAATTCATCGGCCGACGCCGAGACGGGAGATAAACTCCAAGTGTCTCATTCGGAATGTTCGTGTCAAGAAATGTTGATTCAGCTGAACCGGGTCAACGGGAAGCGTCGAGAGCATGTACCAAGAGGGGAAGGCAGTGGTGATGGCTCATACCATTTCCTTGCAGCAGATGGCCGTTTGGCAGTGAGAGGCGCCGAGTGCTGACCATCCTTCAACTAAATGTGCCGCGATTACGTGAGTAGCTAACATTCCTATTCAATGCAGGGGGGGGTTGCAGTATTACTTTGATACCTCACATTTATTAGTATGTCCCACGGGTGGGCTGTTTTGCTGCTCTGAGCTAGAAATACAAGAAAACTGCTTCATGGAATTCTTATTTTAGATTTATTGGTAATTTCAGAACGCATAAAACCTAGTTTCCTAGGAGAAATTTCCGGCAGTGAACGAGTCGGCCACTTGCTGACAGCAGATGAACAGCTCGCGTCTCGGCGGTAGAGCCGGGTTTCGATTAGACCATATCAATGCGGGTGGAGTGGTCTTGAAAAATTGTCCATGATTCGTGGTTTGTGTACAAGAGGAAATTTGCGGTAAACCAAGGTTAGAATCGCATCTGGATTGAGAATGGTGTGTGTGATCTAGGACTCAGGATGGGTGGAGGGGGTCTTTGGTTGGAGCAAGTTCTGAGCAAGAATGTTCCCGATTGACAGACAAGAAGCCCTGACGTGTGGATCGGAAAAATACTCGACTTTGGTAGTTTACCCAGAAATCGCACCTCTAGTGTATCCATTTAACGAATGGCTTCCATCTGAGCAAGACTCTCTACGTCACTGCATTAGAGTCTTTCAAGTATCCCTACGGTCAAAGTACACGGCATGCACCTCCTGCTTCTTCGTATCTCAGCCAGTTCAGAGTGAGTTTGCTCCCGTCTATTTGTTCTTGATACTGCTGTTCAGATAGGATGTGCGAAACAATGGGCTCCAGAAATCGCCGAGCACCGCCTGACGTGTGGCCAAAGAGCAGCGGCGAGAAGACAAGAGGCGCTGAGACTTGCATAGGGGCTGTACTTGTAGCACCTTGATTGGGCTGTAAAGTTCTCGTTTTCTACTGCTCGGTTCAATTTATTTATAATATACCAAAGGAATCCAGTTCCTGTACAAAACCTGTAAGAAACATGGGTCTACAAATTGAGGAGGTGTTGTATTCGTGCTCTAAACGCCAAGCATGATATCCTGTGGTTACAAGCGGCAAATTCAGCGGTCGTGCTGCAGTGAGCAACTCAAATTAGCGTCTCATCTGGTATAATTCTCCCCGCACGAGAAACACTCATTGGTTCATCTGATGTCCATCAGCTCGAGGGGTGCGATGCTGCGTTCATGCTCTCTGCCTGCTATACATTTATCTCTACTTACCGAAGATTGAGTCCCAATTACTCTGTTAAAAAGCACGTTGTCTTCGTTTCAATGTCTCTATCAATCATAAGGATTCTAAATTACACGCACTGCCCGTGGTAGGAGGAACTGACCTTTTGTTCGCAACCCAAGTATTGCGTATAAGAGGTCAGGGTCCCTCCCTCCCGCAGAGAACTACATAAAAATGTCTATAGGTACAGAGCACGCTGGTAAGCCAATGTGTTCCACGAACCCACTTTGCAAGCTGCAGGAACGTGGTTATAAGCTACGGGCTACAGGCTCTCCCGACCCTGTCGGCAAATGAAGGGCTTCCAGAGCAGCGAATGAATTAACAGATATCAAGCATGTTTCGTGGTGTACCTATCATTATACGAACTATTTGTACCTGTACCTACATATCTACCTCAGTCGTGGTAGATACCTGGACGGTACCTAGGTAGGACACGGAGCCGCGTTAAAGAGACAAAGACAATCGCGCCGGAAGTGACTTTGAGACAACATCTCGCAACTCCAAGATCGGTCTACAGCCTTTTTTGAGCTCAAAAGGCGTCATGACATTCCCGTCTATAGACGGGCATCCTTTTTTACAATCCCATTTGATCTCAGCTCGCCCCCGGATCTGCATACGCGCCACTGAACCAACCTCTATACAGGCTTAATCTGCGCACAATACTGTGCTATGTAACTCAAACACCCAAGATCTTCCATAAAGGTTGGCCATTAGGCATAGATACCTTTCCGTTGTGGGTGGCATAACATCATTCTTAATTTTCGTGCTAGCTCACGTCTCCGGCTGTAGTGTTCCGAAAGTGTGGAAGGGCTAGTGTCGGGATGGTTTGCTCCTCCGAGCTTCTTTCGCATTTTGAGCCTCGAGGATACCGGAATGGCTTAGTTCTGAGTTGTACGAGTAATAGCACTCTCCTTAGCTCGATGTTTTGATGTAAAACGAATACTACCTCAATTCTTAAGGGTGTTATCTGATTGAGATACATGTGGTGTGAGGTGGTATCGTGCCAACACCCCACAAACTCTCCCCTCTCCCATTTCACCCCTCAATTCTGTAGGTGCTACCTTGGTGCCCTCCATTAGCATTGGGATATGAACATGTACCTCGCATTTACGAGGTATATCTGATTGCCACGGCATGCAGGAGCCACTGCTTTTAATCAAAGTGGAAATAGATATGCCCGTGAGGAAACGCCATTGAATCAAGAACACCAACATTGCAATTTCAGCAACCGAGGTGTGGCTGACCCATGTGCCGTCCACCAAGTCCAAAAGTCTTCTTCCGTGGAAATGCTTTCCAAATTCTGTCTTGCCACCCCTTGCAGAGTGACCAGAATATTGGGAAGAAAATAATAATTCCGATCTTCACTACACTGTTTCACTCGTGTTAGCTGATGAGCCATCTTGATCGATTACTTCTACGTACCTGTGTACATCTAACGCTCCTCGCCAATTCACCTCAAGATGGCCAAGAGTAATAGGCTTTTAGCCGTTCATTGTAGAAATGCCTTGTTTCCTCCTGAACGTGTCGTGACAACGTAAATTGCCACGTTTTACCTTTCACAGCCGCTCGAATGTAACGCCAAACGGCCTTCATGGGAAGCACCTACGTTGAGTGTGACCTCGGGACGGTTCCGGGAGGGCTGCACTTAACCGCCAACAGACCAGCTTGGATGCAGTCTGTTCCCGCCCGTAGGTGTTCTCATATGCCGCTAAGTATATGCTCATGTCTATCGATCTGCTCGCTAGCAGCTCGAGCAATCCCCAGGGCGGTCATGTGAATCTTCTGTAAGAGCCGCTGGAAGGAGGGAGATGCCCGAGCGACATCGGCCCCGACAGTTCTTCCTTTACATTCCTCGAGGATATCTTGTACAAAAGGCTTGATGTATAGATACATAAACAGGGATTGCTTCTGTCCGCTCGTAGTACACGCTTAGATTTCTGTTGCCCCGTTGTACGGCTAGAGGCATCATCGGCGTTAGACCGACATGGCGCCCCCTCCCTTCCGCCTAGGCTCGGAACGACGCGCCGCTAATGCGCCCGGATCGGGCCTCAGTCAAGGAATATGAACGTGGAGGCAGATGCTGAGGCATGTTGAGGTATGCGGTCGTGTCGCTCAGCCACCGTTGAAGATGGGTAGCTGCTTGAATAAAAATTTGCCCCCAAGTTGCTGCCTTGTGCTAAAGAGCGAATGACCTCTGGAGGCTTCATAAAATAGCACAAAATTGTAATAGTGTAGTGTGGGAGATATCTTGGCGGGGATGAACAATTTTTTCAGCTTCTTACGCACGCCATCCCTCGTCAGATGTTAGTGTTGTGCGTATCACATGGGCATGTCTGGGCCAAGAAACTCTTGATGCTTGATTCCCTATGTGCCTTATTCGGAAGGCAATGAAAGTGGTATCCGGTTCACGGTTATTGACCAACAGCTCTCAAAAGATCCTCTTGGAAGCGCTCGAGGGCGGCCAGCCCGATTCAAGAGGATGCGGTTGCGCCGCTCTGGACTTGCAGGCGTCATAACCAATCACTCCAATCAGAAGCCTCAATTGGGACCAAAGCCAATGAAACATCTCATTCCTAGCACCCTCCATCTAAGTTGCGTCGCATCATCAGCCCTTTGAGCTCTTGGCCCCGACACGAAAATCCTTTCTGCTTGTCCCCGGATTCAAAGAGGCATAAAGCTTATGCTGCAAATATCGTCACACGACAAGGTATTGTTTTATGTGCCGATTGCTACGCTATGACTACCCGTGCTGGCAGCATTTGTATCTTTCACGACGGTGACAATGAAGCTCTTCACTTCAAGAATGTGTGGCTTCTGGCGGTACGTATAAGAGTACACTCACCAATGGACTGATGGGTGGCAACAGTCATGGAGGCACTTGACTTAGGCGCGGTACATAGGGCTGATTCGTTAAAGAAAGAAAGGAAAAATCCATGCTGTTAGTACTAGTATCCACGTACCAAGGTCAAGATGTTACATCTATTGTACGCGCGAAGACTACATGGATGCCGGGCGTTTGCGTTTGCGTTTTCCATCTCAGGCTACCCCAGCCAGTACATGTAGAGATAGGTTTTATAGTAAATAGAAGAGACTAGATGAAAACAAGCTCTCGGAGGTAATGGTGCCAAGGTCTTACGAAGAATGGTTCCATCCAAGGCCAAAGAACTGGGCAGTGCCTGGATGGTTGCAGCACGTAATGCAGCCTTAATGAGACACGCAGAAAATAGCTTCTGCTTCGTCGAAAACTCAAGCACGCAAGGCGTCAAGTGCAAAGCCGATTGATCACTCGCCAGCCATCCCACAATGCTCATTTGCAGCGAGAACCTGTATGCCGTACGCCACATCCTGGGAAGTGAGAGACAAACTGAGAAGGTATGCAGTGACGATGTGTGGCGTATTGAGCAAAAGGTTCCCGGCATGCGTGTCTCTTCTTGATCTTCTTGCCGTGCGCCACCAGCGCTCAAGATTGATTTCCATGGTCAAACGACCAACGATATTTCGCAGACAGAGTAGGTACTGGTATGTCATGGAATGGGCTTTTTTTTCTCCTTGCCTCTTTTTAGCCTTTGCTGGAAGAGAATGGCAATATTAGGGCTTTACTTGGACATTCTAGGGTGCCTGCCATGGTATCACTTCAATATCAACCTTGGATATAGATGCAGTAGTGAGTTGCTGCTCAACCAATGTGAGCAATGGAACGCTGTGTTCGCCTCCAAAGCTGAGCAACGTCGACAGCCACCGAAAAGAAATTGCCCTGCGAAATATTCCCATAAAAAAGGTCAATAAGAGAAGAGAATAGAAAAACAAAACATGGGGTTGTAAGAAATCAACCGGTCTAGTTGATTACATGTTTACAGGCAATTATTCCGTAGGTATGTTACCTATCCTAGCTAGTGGGCATTTCTCGCGTTGCCGGCGAGAATAAGACGCAATTCTCACCTGCACCACGCCGTTTGCAATGCAATATCGGGAAGCAAGTAAGCAGGGCTGGATGAGAAGTAATGCGTATCAACTGGCGACATGGTGGCTGCATTTACTTGTTTTCCCGGCTGCTCTTCCTCCTTTCATAACACACAGCATTGAAGGCATGCTCCATTGCCTAGGGCATCTCTCGCCTGCAAGTAAGAACCCCCTGGCCCATCATTTGGTGCTCTGCTGTCACCGATAGCCGGATGATGGACTGGCCGAACCAGAATCAAGGACCATGACCTCAGAAAAGGCCCACGTGTGCAAATAAAGGTCTTGGTTGTGGATTCAATGTGACGCTCTACCGAACCAAGCGAAAATGGAGAGGCGGATGGTGCCGTAGCGGCTCCGTAGCGGGGATCAAGGAATTCTCCCTTTCCCCAGAAGGGACCATCATGGCGTTGATCCCATTGCATGGAGCGGTGGGCATCTCCTTGCTAGCGTAGATTGTGCAAAATGTCCGAGCAATTGGCAGCAAGTAATAATGGCAGCGTAGTACTGCCGTTGCGTACTCGTATGTGAATGTGAAAAGAGACGAAAGGGAAGACGAGCAACGGCTACTCCGTAGACGAGCACGAAGGGCGTCTCTGGCTCACAAGTGGTCGGTCTGCAGCAGCCCCCTTCTTCTCCTTTTCGTCGCATTGCATCTTTGGCCCACCCATCCTATTGAGAAAAGAGTGAAATCAAGGGCCATTGGAACCAAGTCTGCTGAGAACAGGCGAAGTGGAGAGACAGCATGCTGGAGCCAACAAGTCTAAGCAGCCACAGCTTGGAGGTTTGTGATTCGCGTCTTGCACGGCACAAAAGGAGAGGGGACGCTGGCCGCATCTCGATTACTGGACTGGCGCCAGGAGAGATCTCTCAGGTCAGGTCCCCGGCCCTTGCTCTGTCTGTGGGCCTCGTCTAAACACATCCCTTGCCTCCATCTGATAGTAGATCGTCTCCATTGGGCGATGAGCTGCGGACCCGATGCTCATGGGTGCGGGTACCTATCGGAACATTGAGCTTGGGAATGTAGGCGCGAGCATCGTGTGGTAGCACTTGGGCCTTGTCTTTGCCCTTGTTCCTGTTTTTATCTTCCGAGATTCGATGCTCTCATCTGCCGCTCGGTTGGCCTAACGTACCTGTATCTCCTTCGTTCTTCTCTTGTCCTTCTTTCTTTCAGCCCTTTTGCCGTCTCTTTTCACAGGCCGCGGCAGAGACTGGGTTCCGCAAAGAGCACAGACGGACAGGATATGGGCGGCAAAATGTGGTTACTTACCCCTAGACACGATGCGCACAGTGTCTCAGGCGCTGCTCATGCTACCTCACCGAGGCAGCCACAAAATGCAGCAAGGTAAACCAAAGCACCGGTAGGACGGGAGAGGAGGTACCTACTTGGATTCGGTTCCGTGTTTTGCCTGCTGTGCTGAACCTGTATGCCGTAGCCCTGCCATGAGTATCAGTTAGGAAAAGCTTACCTGCGACTGGACAGCTGGGCTGCGACTCTGTGGTACCACTCAACTAAAGTCTGGCAAGGGTATTGATGGCGGCACGGGAAGAGAGCCGAGGTAGCCAAGTGGGAATCAGTGTGGACAGCCACATGATTAAGACTTCTGAGTGGTTTTTTCTTTTCTTTTTCTCTTTCAGCTTCATTTTCTTCTCACCGCACGGACTCTGTTCAGGTGTCTCGCTGACAATCCAAGAGGCGTGTTCTCTCTCCAGACCCAGAGCTTGGAGAGAGTTGTTAGAATGATCTCGTGAATCTCCTGGTCGGTAGCAGGTAACACAAAAGTTCCCGCTTCGTCGTGCTCTACATTCCCCATCGACACACCAGACGGAACGATTTGGCAAAGAACAACTGCCATAGGTCCCCTCCCCCTTTCTCCTTTCGCCACCTGCTGTACAACTCAACAGTGCACGTACGGCCACGAGATGACAGCGACAATGTGTCGTGCTGCGCGTTTCTTGACCAAGGCATTCTAAACTCGGGAGTTGGATGCTAAACTGGCAGATGCGGCGGTGATATAGCCGCCTTGTGAGCCAGCTCGCCCGCTCTTCGTACTACCACAACTAGGTGCGGAATATCCATCTCAACGATGTTTGCGACTAATTGCGCATAAGGATCCATTTTCGGAACTGCATACTAGTAGAAAGCGAGATGATGGCTGCCAGATTGGTTCTCCATGAGCTCATACGAGCGAGCCTACGCCACCGACTTGGGAATGCAGGCTCCATCTCATACATGCAGCTACTAGCCAACTAGCGCAAGACATGCCATCGACGAACAAGATTGCTTCCTGTGGTCTCCATTGGGCGTCTGATATTGCCAGACCGCTATTAGGCGGCGGAAAGGAGAGACCCCAAGCGGCTATATGAACGCCGTCGCTGATCGGCCGAGACATTTAAAGGGAAAACTGAAGGCTGGGGGAACTAGTTGGAGAAGAGTGTGCTTGAATCGGAAGCCGCTCCGTCTCTGGCAGAGTAAAGGCAAGGTTGAACGAGAGACGAGACAGCATGAAAGTGGAAACAAGGGGACGCGTGTGGCTAGCTGGACCAGAACATGCTTTTCCGCTCTCGAGTCGAGATCCAGAGACCCGGCAGATGGGATGTCGTACAAAGTATACTGCACCAAGCCGCCAACTTGTTGGTTTGATGCCTCAGTCGGCTGAACAAAAACCTTAATACAGCATCTCTACAGCATCTCGTAGTACTAATTGTAATGGAGGATGAGTTCTCCATTCTGTTGGCTGTAAAGTGGCTGTAAAGCGCTATGTCATAACTGTCGGCCGCCCACCCATCTGCTAGATGCCAGATCAAAAGCACCTACGAGTACGATGTGGTCAGAGCCCAGATGTGATATCTGACATCGGCTGTCCCTACATTAGCTTTCAAGGTCTTAAATCACTCCATCGAACCATGTCTCGCTTGAGGGGCGTGTAAATTCCCTTTAGCAGTACTTGACGCTCTTATTACATCACTTTTGAAGGCATAGAATGAGGTATTCAAGGCGAAACAGGTCAATACTTGGGAAGAGAGCTAGAGTCTACATTTGTCCATTGATTGATGATTACTTATTGCTTTCCCAGTAGCATTAGTATCTTGACCTGTTCATCTCCTCATACCTTGCCCCAATAACATGCTGGTACCTGAGATGGGGTAATCAGACGGGAATTACATTGCGTGCTGCCGGATGACTTCAAACCTGGACTGGTTGAACTAGAAACTCGAAGCTACGAGCATAGTCGGCGATAAGAGCGTCACTGGAAGAGGCACTGATGTGCTGGTGGATGTCATTGGTCCATTGGAGCTGCTGGGATCATTCGGCGATGAGCGGATGAAACATGGACGAACGGGCGGCTGTCCACCAAGACGATGAGGCGCGTTCAAGCCGCTACAAGCCCTTGTCTAGTCCACAGAGCTGCTGTACACTCTGCTAAAGCGAGACCCTTACCAAGACTGATGCCCTACCTTGAGGCCAGCGCATGTGCAGCATGTGTGAAGTACCTACATTTACGCGGGTGTGCCTGAACCTGTGCCTGCACTTCCACGTATATCCAAGTAGAGCAGAGCAAGAGCAGAGCAAGAGCAGGGCTACAGCAGGGCTACAGGAGCGCGAGTTGAGCCTGCAGATGCTCTGCAGTAGTACAGCACTCGGTCAGTACTAGGAGGAGATGATAACTAATGCCTGCGTTCTGGTGCCTGAACATGATGTGCTCAATTACACTGGCCACTGGACGGTGAGTTTCCTTCGTGTCATTCAGCCAAGCCAGCAAGAGGCTTGCCGGAGGTGTCATCCAGCCGAATCTGCCCCCGCGCTTTCAAAAAGGTCCATGTCAGGTATGAGTACCACCAGAGCCCGGCCTCGCCTTTGCCGTGTCCTGTACTTGCACCGCATACAACCTCTACTATGTAGGTACGAGTAGTAGTATCTCGTGCTTCGGGCTTGGGCAGCCGCCCAGCTGGGCGTAAACAAGTTGCTGAGAAAGGCCGACAGGGGGTTGAAGGAGGTGTGGACCAGGGCCTGAGCAAGCTAGTGGAAGCAGAGAGGGAATCCTTCACTTGTGGAACACCCACAGCGGGGGAGGGGGGTGTCTACCGATTTGGCTGGGTGTAAGCTTGAGTTTGGATGATGAGCGAACCCCCAAAACACCCCTGGCTGCCAAGGTACGGCCAGCGTCTCTGATACATCGCGGATGTGCGACTATGGTCGGGTAAGGAGGCCGTACAAAGCCTCTTCCTCGTACTTGTAACATGTCTAATACATGCGCTTTCAGGCAGCTCAGCAAAAGTTCAGGTACTCTGGAAATGCGGGAGCATCGTCTCAAGGGCTCTCACATCCTAGATCCTTGTCAAGCGTAGTGGGATGCTGCTAGTGCTCTCTCTCTTGCTTTTTACATCGTATTCAGTACATATACATGTATATAATATAAGAGGCATCGCATCTCCATAGCTTGCGTCGATGTCTGTATATATATCAAGCCATTGCCGTTGTTCTGTTGAGGGATTCGTATTCTTGTTCTAGCTCCATCAAGATCGAGTCATCACATCTCATATAATATCATATCGCCTTCTTTTATATATCCCATCCGTTACATACATCCTCTTGCATCTTCTCAAAGAGGATTCCATAGACGACATGTCCTTTACAGCTGGAATCTGGGACTATCCTTCGCCCTCTTCCATCACTCCTCCAATGACGGCATGTGCCTCTTCCACCTCAGTAACTTCACCTTCATCTTCACCGCGAGACTCAACTTTCCAAGTTCAGTCACAGCCAGTGTCTTTAGAATCACCACCCAGGTTCTCCATTTCGACCCCTCCAGGGACGGTTGATCCAGCAGATATTTCAACAACTCCAGCTCGTTCAAGCAAGAAGAAGAAGGCGTTGATACCTGTTTACCACGGCCCGTACCGAGAAGAAGACGACTGGACCAAAGTCTCAGATCCCAAGGAGAAGAAGAGGATACAGAACCGAGTTGCCCAAAGAACATACCGTATGACTACCCGTCTCTTCTTTAGCATCAGCTACCCTTTACTTTCGCCTTTACTACCAATGGCCATCGTTTATATCATGTTCATACAACATTAGACTTGTGGAGGGGGTGTTGCATTGCTAACCAGAAGTATATCAATGTATAGGTCACCGTATGAAGGCACGCCTTGGCGAGCTACAAGCCCGACTAGATAGCCACGAACGGAACAAGGCCCAGCAGACAGAAAACTCGGAGAACGTCGATTCATCTTCCACCAGCGGATCTGTTAGAGGTTTTACAGCCATCAACAATCAGATTTCCGGCGTCGAATCATCCCCACCTCCTATGCCCCAGGATAAGACCCCCGTTAGCCAATCCCAGGTGCAGCAGCCAGCCATGTATGAACGGCCTGGTAATGAAGCCGAGCTGGTATTCCAGCATTTGCCTCGCAATACTCTTAGCAGCCCAGCTCAAACGCAGCCCTCCCCCGAAGCCAATGGCTTGCTCTCTCCTCTGGGCCAACCTCCCTCAGAACGAGTTTCCAAAGTACCCCACGATTTCGTGCTCGACTGTTTGCGTTTTCAAACGCAGCTATTGAACCGCCTTAATAGTTTGCAGCAAGAGGCTCATTTCACTCCTTCTTACACCCCGAGCAATGCTGCGCCTCCACCGTGTGAGTTGTATTCAAGATCCACTAGACCAACATTGCTAGGAGAGAAACCACATGGACTGACTGAAATATAGCTCTAGACAACTTGACTCAACCTGAGCATGCCCAGTGCTCAGATTCTTTTTCCCCTGCCAATGCAGAGGCTATGGAGTTCTCCTATGAGTCTAGCGCAGACTTGTGGAAGACAGATACCATGCCCAAGAGTCGCCCTCCACCTACATCTGATAATTCCATTAGCTTCCCACCACTTCCTGCTGCCGCTACTCCCAGCGCAGTTCTCAACAGTCCCGCTCCCGAGAGCTCAAATCAGAACCTGCGGCCTCCGTCCCAGTCTGTCACCCAAGCTGCTTTAGGAGAACGCATCGGAAGTCTTATGGAGGCCGTTCAGGCGGCTGGATTTGATAGCTTTGACGCCCTTGTCTCTGCTTATTACTGTGATACGTTTGGAGAGGCCTCTTCTCTGGCTAATGAACAACGTCTGAGTCGCAATAGACGTCTGCCAAAGGTGATTGCCGACGTGTTCCAAGCAACCAAAGGATGGAGCACGTGGGAACGCCGCGGGTTTCAGGAAGAGATACTCAAAACCGCCGAATCTATGCTGATATCCGAGGGCGCCGGCGCCCGGACTTCTGTAATGTCCAAAATTGAGCCTTTACTGGACTCACACGACCCAACTAACCCGGACGCCACCGCGGACGCTCTTATCAATCTTAAACGATCTATTCAAGATGAGGTGAGCAATCCCATGGTTGAATACTTGTGGGACCTCAGAATGAACTGCTAACTCGGCCAAGCTGCCCAATTCATGGGCTCTCACAATGGCCCTGGCTTCCGGCACCCGCAATTCCTTTCAAAGAGACCGCTCAAATACGGCCCTGGCAACAACACTCCTCGTCAACTTCTCAGGTCGGATACCCAAAGATCAGCTGCTGCAGATTCTGTGTGCATGTCTTTGAAAGCGGATGCATGGTTGGTCTTACCGGTTAAAGACACACCTGTGTGGTTACTTTTTCAACATGCACGTCTTGTGGTTAGCCTGAACTGGTGTCGCAACAAATTGGTACGTTGCCTATAAAGGACAATTCGCAGCAGCCCATATTCCTTTGGAATTTCGGCTGACAGGCACAGCTCAGTCGTTAGATTTGAGATCAAACTCCTATCGCAGCTGCGTGCTAGCCCTCATTCAGACACCACTGCGATTATGATATACATTATCCGGTGACGATCTACAACGGATTTATTTCATAAGATCAATTTGGCTCTGGCTATGTCAAGCCATTTTTTCACTGGATCTCTTTTCTTGTCAACTTACGTTGAGCTTTCACACTCCCTTGATTCTCCATTCTTATATCTTTACTACAACAGGAGAAGACGATTCTCTACAAACTAAATCACGTATACACGGGTATACATGTTCGAAACCGCTTTGATGGTAATATACCTCAGAAATATGGGTTTTGTTTTATGATACATCAAATGTCCATTGGTGAGATTTCGGGGGACTTTTGCGGGGATAGATCCCACCAAAAATAATCGGGATGCATGTCATCATGGTGTACATGGACTCATCTAGATGGATGGACGGCCACAGACTAGCTCTGTAATAGGGACATTAGGCGAAAAGCAGGTCAAAAACTTACAACGTGAGGCGTTGTGGGAGTTTACGGATATCAGCCAGGGCTGGCAAAAAAAAAATATGTCAGGAATCACAGACCGTTAGCGGGAGGTTAATTCATTTGTTTGCTAATCTACCGTTCTGTGCCTCATATGTCGTAGAATATTTTAGTTCGGTGAATTCTTTGAGATTCAACAGTTATCAGGAAACCTTTCTCTCATCGGCTATCATCTTCTTAATGGGAGTGTGTTAGACAGCAGTATGTAGGGGCGTCGGCCCAAAGCAAGTAAGCTATTGTGGAATACCTAGAAAGTAACGAACCGTTATCCTCACTCTCTCGGAATAAGTTGCCTCGAAGACCATCGACATACTGAATGAAGCAATACCAGCTGAAAAGGTTTCGGGCAAGGATTGGCGTCATCTAGCACCGCTATCCTACATTCCGCTACCGACGTCATCCCACCAACCGTCATGGCTCCCGGCAGATGGTGGGTTTCATTGCCGTAAGGTGCCTCTTTGTCATTGCAGATGTCGTAAGCAAAGCATGGGATATGCGTGCTGAGGCCCTTGCTGTGGAGAGGGGTTTTCCGAGAAATCGTGCCTTTGTGATGACGAAACGGAATAAGTCGAGACTTTCTAGCTATTCGGAGAGGATGTGTAGCGCTTGGCATGTACTAAGGGGAGGGTCAGGGACTTGTTTTGATAGGTCATAACAGGAGCATGGTGATTTGCGCGGCGTCTGTATACGATGAGCTCACTCAGCGTAGGACCAATGGTGGAGAGACCCAGAGTCAGGTAGGTAGTTGGATTCATCAGCCTTCCAGAACTTTGATGTCGTCTTCTTTCATCCACTTCTTTCATCCCCTTCTTTCATCCTTTCTCTCTTCTTCATGCAGAATTCGAGACTCGCTTGCTTTGTGGTGTACCTGGTTCGGCCGTAGATTGGAGACGCGGGTGCTTGCGATGTAACTCTTCCATGAGCTGAATGTGGGGGATTGGCAAGCGATGCTGACAGTCGTATAACGGTTTGATTCCTTTCTTCATTTTACCGCCATTTTGAAGTGTCACCCTTGTCGTCTAGATAGAATAGTTGCCCTTATGGGCAGTTTGCGTCTTATGGCAGTGTAGGTGGTGCAAGCGGCAGTCCATAAGAGCTGGTATTTCCCCGCTACCGGGACTTTTTTATTGCAGCTGATGATGCTATTTTCCGACAGGGGTGTCGGGGAGAAATAATTCAGCGTTGCTTTCAGAGGCCCAAGCGCTGGAGGTTGGGTGAATGCAATAAGGAGTACGGTTGACATGTATCGGGGCAAAGATGGACGTGGTAGCATCGTAGGAGGGTAATATTGGTTGCGTGAATTGCAATCTGTACAATTCGGCGAATAAAAGGCAGTGTGTGGATATAGGCTGCTACTCTGGACGTCGAGGAGTAGTCAATGACGAAGAGTATCCCATGCGTCGGTGAAGGAGAGTCGCCCTCAAGTGGCTGGATGTATGATAGAGCCAATGCCTGTAAGTGCCAAGAAGCACAGGAACTGAGCCCCAACCTGGTGTAAGGATGATGCAGTTTGGCTGTTTCTGTTTACTGGATTAGAGGTGCTGCAGTGAATAGGTTGGGGGGAAAATGTCGCCAGGCTGTTGTCAGCATGGATGTAACATCGGCAGAGCTTGGACCAAAGCAACGAGACATCTCCATCTATTCTCTCTTGAAGTCTGTAATTCTCGATTCGTTCAACATCGTAAATGTCTGACAAGCGTTGGAATTGCATCTAGCACTAAAAATACAGTGCATGAATACGGAGTAGAGTGCATGTAAGCTGAGAATACAGCACCACCGATGGGTCGTATGCCCCAGGCGACCAGCGAGACTGGAGGCCTGATTGAACGTGACCATTGGGAGTTGGCTACCAATGAGAGATCAGACAGAATATTCAGAGGAACCTGTTATTGTATCATCCAGAATTAGGGAGCGAAACCTAGAGTGAGGAGATGTATATGGGAGCTGGTGGTATATATGTAGACTCACAAGATAAGTGTTGGATTGGCGCCTGCCTGTCATTGGATGTCGAAGGGTAGAAGTTGAGAGCGTAAGTCGGCCACGGCCATCGCAGACCCTATAGACAGGATTTGGAGATCTGATATATTCCCTGTGCAATGAATTAGATACCCAAAACAGCAAGACTCCGCTTCTTCGGCTTGTCTTGGTGATAGAGGGCAGCGGCTTCAACGCTTTGTTGAGAATTTCTCTGCTGATATCATTTGCCCGTGGCTCGGGAACAACATCGATGGCGCGCGATGTGTAACTGCATAATAAGGACGTTGAGAAAGTATAGCTATTGTGTTCAAACCAAGATGTAAAAATATGAAGATGATATAGTTTAACCGAGATAGTTGCTCATACTCACACAAGACATAACCCGGAGTGAACTATTCTGTCTCAGCTGCTCTTTGTGCCTCCCGATATGTCTCTGAGAGCTGTTCATTTTAAAATAATCTTGATGGTGTTGTTAACATGATATCGTCGAGTAAAAGTATGATGATTAAGTATTCGCCTCCTCTTTACCACGAATCCGCCTACATGGCTATCAATTGTTTCCAAACTGTATTTATAGAGGGAATGTTGTAAAGACTCGGTCGTTTTCAAGAATTGTTGGTACAAGGATTGAACAATTCGTGCTCAACATGTGGGTCGAGAAGAGGAAAGTCAGGGCGGAAAAGAGACAGAGCTTTTCGTTTTCAATGTTAGAATTAGATCAGAATGCCTTGATCTGTTGGTCGAGAACGGGTTGGGGTTGATGTACTGATCATGAGCAGTTAAGACTGTGACCTAAAAGGCACAGTTTCTGGAGTCTCAATACGATAGGGCTGTTTATTAAGCTTGATCTGAAGACAACCGAATCGTTTGTGAGCGTCGTAACCCACATGATATCTCAGGTCATTGGCAATACAATAAAGCAGGACTTGTCAAGCAATGAATAGGCCCAATAGACTTCTATTCGAATTTGGACATATTGTAAATCTTCTGTAGTTCCATTGCAGATATCGCCAAGCCTTTGCTTCAATGTTCGCAAAATGATCGGTAATGGCAACTCCTATGTTATATCGTACAGTCGTCTTCACTAGGATGAGTTAACAATAAGGAATTAAAGGTTATGAAAGAGATTTCTAGACCGTTTAAAGAAGGCAGACTGTCAAATATTCGAAAGTCTCGAACAGTGTTGACAGGTTCATGAGCAGCCTAGAAGAATGCGTTTTCAAACAGCACTATCTTAAACGCATCAGCCTCTTCTATCAGTGAGCACACATGGAAAGTATTTACCCCTTAGCAAGTGTCAAATAACAAGTGAGACATTCTCTTTGTTTCTGGTGAGCATCATCGCCCTGTGTCGAAGCACGTGGGATCCCTTCTCTTAAGCCCGGAGCTAGGGGTTGTATAGAGAAGCCTCCACTATACTTTTTCGGTAGGAGGATAAGTATAATATCAGTTGATATGTTTTTGCTATAGTTTCATTAACTACACTCATGTGTCTTCCATGATATATAGTAGTTCTTACCTATGAACAACCACAAGAGAGGTGGAAGAAGTAATACATGGCACCTAATGGATGATATCAGATGTTATAACCTCCTCATCAAGAAGACACGTCATAGATATCTTTCATCCTTTTGGATGCCATGCATTGCTACCACACTGAAATCCTACAACATATGGGATGTCAGACTCTTGCTTCATCATAGTTAACTAGGGAGACATACGGATCCTTGGTGTGAAAGAGTTCCAGGAGGTGGCTGATACAACATTATTGCATAACATTATGCTTTGCCGTTCATAGAGCTAAGTCACCAGTACAATCATCTACCTAGCGTATAATAGGTCTGAGCTCACACGAAGTTTCCATTGAGAAGAAACAGATAAGAACATACCGCTGGGCTGACCTCATGGTGTCTCATAGTTAACAAAAGATGGAAAGAATAATGCAGAATAGATGCCTTATCCCCTCTCAGCCTCACCCAGCCTTCACTCTGAATTTGAGACATTATGCTTCTAAGCACTTGGTCTGAGTAACAACTACAACATCCTGCGTAAGCATTTGATCGACAAGCTGCATAACTATCATGAAGATTGAGCTGTTTATAGAAATGGAACGAATATGGCCTGACTGATAAAAGCAGGACCACCCGCATATCATCTTGTAATTACATCTACTCCATATCAAAAGTAACTCTAATCTATTTAGTGTCATGCTACTGGGCAAGCTGTTTGGAAATTAGCTACAGTACTTCGTATTTGCCCAAGGCATTGTTGGTCTAAGAGCACAGTACCCGAAGCCAAGCATTGGATTTGGTGCCCGGCCAGCGAAGAAGCCTCGGCTATGATAAGGGTAATAGTAGTTATGCTAGCACAGACTGTCAGATGTTTCTCTAGTCCCCCAAAGCAAATCAATCATTGTTCGGCTTCATCTTCTCAATGCGATGTGACGCGGTCATGGGTCCAAGCAATGCTTCGTCTCCATAATAGTTGACACCAGCATGATTATTACTACCGAATGAAACGATTGATCAACCCAACGGGGCACACACTTGAAGGGCTTCTAGAAGAAATTATCATTTAAATACATATTCATGATAGGGATCATTTTCCAGAAACAATGGGCAGCAGAACTATACAGTAGAGACAACCAGAACGCAAGATCCTGGGACAAAGCCAAACTAGATACAAGTAAATCCAGATTTTACAGTGATATTTTACACCAAAGTTAATACGACAATGGCGATTATTACAGTAGCTTCTCAAGACACTAATCTCCCTCATATTGTCCCTAACAAAGGAAACGATCGTTTCAATTCTCTCTAACGTAGCAAGCTACCATGATTCTCAAGTAGAGTTCATCTATGGTCCTCGGCATGCTCCTATGGCCGATACTGACATGTGTGATGTCAATGGTTTAGCTTTCGTAGACGCACTTTCAAAAGTCCCAAGACCGCTAAATCCCTTCTTTCCTCTTAGCTCTACAGGAATGCTGAATGATTGCCTTCCTTTTTCGAATCACACAGCGGGAAGCCCACACTCAATCACAATCGGGGTAGAATTCTACCAAAGCCTGTTAAGGCCGTCTTCTTCCCAGCCGCAGCTACAGACGCAAGGGGGTATCATATTACTCAGATGGGTGCAACCTGAGTAATATCTAGTTAGCAAGGGTTAGTGCGAGCAAAGGGGACACACGCCCTTGACCCTTGCTCCCGTCCCTGAGTCCTTTGGTGCTGACTCCGGCGACGATCATTGCGGGAGTGGATCTTGTATTACTCCTGTACCACCAGCCGATATTCTCAGCCGTTCAAAAGCCTGGTGCTACTGCTACCACACATGTGCATGAGGCAGCCCGCTATTTCCAGGCGTGGCGCACGGGATGAATTTCGAAATGAGGTGTAATGCTCTGTTATTCGTGTACGCACACGGCACAGCTGGGACATTTCAGGTCGCAATTTTAATTAATACGTCTTTTTTCTGCATTGAAGCTAACACTGGGCAGGAAAAGTGCAATATTCGCCAAGAGGATGCGGCAAACCTGAGAGGGCGCAAATGTGCATTTTGAGGCGCCGCCTCATATGTAGGGAGAGAAATTGCGCCAGCTCATCTTGTAGCTAGCTGCCTTACAGGGCGGCTCCGAAGCAAAGCGGTACATTAACGCCGTTCTGAGACCATGGGAGCTGCAGGGAGGAATTATTCGTCTGGCAAAAAGAAATTCTAAGGCGCGAAGGCCGAAGCCAATCGCTGACTTTGTCAATTTGTCGCCCTGTAAGAATGCCGATCGCAATCAGCATCAAGCCTGAGTACGAAGCGGTCAGAGGCAATAGAAGTAGAAAGTAGATGTTGGATGGTAATGGTCCAGATATGTAGCTGCAGGGAGCGTCAGGAGTGGGATAGCACAGTGATTCTCTCTACTTTGTGTACAAGTGCTACGTCACCCGATGTGTTTGTGTCATTTGCACGTTTTCTCGTCTTGTCTTGTTGAGATTATGGCCCAACTGTTCCGGACGAGATGATACTCGTATATCAACTCTACTCTCGCGAGCTTGAAATGGAGCATCCGACCTCGAAATGGGGCGGCACTTGCAATTCCAGCCCAGTTATAGCGGATCTCCCCCCCAGCTGATCCGATCATCGTAACCGCATTGCCGGGCTCAAAACCATAAGGTTCAAGATTAGCTGGTGTGCGAATATCGGGTCCGCTGCGAACCCGCTTCGCATCCCTGTATAGATCTCGTTGATTCCTCCAAAGTCCACTTATCGCCCTCAGAGCGCGCGAGCTTACATAACGACAACAGTCGCAGTCAGATAGGCAGGACAAGGATCTCCCATTAGTAGAGAAAGGCCATAGTGTCGGGGTGGATTAGCTTTCGACCGAACAGAGCCAAGCCTGTGGGACGTAAGACACGAAGGAAGCTCGAGTCATCAGGCCGCGATCGGGGAGAGATGAATTGATGACATTTCGGTTTCTCGAGCAATTATCTTGTAATCTTCTCTTAAACCTCTAACAAGACAGTTTACAAAGATTACATCTCTTTATAATGTACGAAGACGGCCCCAATCCCACAAAAGTCCAGGTTACTCCCGTCTACAAACGGGCAAATCCGCCCCCTCCATTGGTCCTGATACACGATGGAGGCGGCACGACGTTTGGATATTTCATGCTAGGAAGCTTGTATCGCGAAGTATGGGCAATTCACAATCCTCATTTTTTCGATGGAGGCGCCTTTGAGGGCGGTATGGATGAGATGGCGCGCTTGTACATCCAAAACATGAAAGACGCGGGCATCAAAGGAAACATCTTGCTAGGCGGTATGTGTAGAGCGGAGGCGCAAGCCATGCCATACTAGTACGCATCATCCGGTGGGATTTCTGCTGGAGATGATTGTCCTCAGTGTGCATCGTAATCCGTAATTTCTGTATCCGCAAGACTGACCATCTTTATGTTGTTCTATTCGCAGGCTGGTCCCTCGGTGGATATCTGTCCCTAGCCGTCGCGCGCTTCTTAGCCGAAGACCCCGAGGCTACGATCAAAGTTTTGGGTATCGTCATGATGGATACGCCATATCATATCCCCTACAGCCAGGTTGAAGGCCTTACCGATGATCCCGTCCTCGAAGGCATTCCAGCGCCCGTCCAAAAGTGCTTCGACCGCTGTGACGAGATGCTTGATGACTGGGAGGTGCCCAAGTGGGACGGACCTGCATGCAATGGGAAGCCCGTTTTCTTCGGCGTTGGAGGAAGACGATACTCTGTGGCCCCCGGCAAAGTGCTGTATAAGCCTTTTCAGGGAACATGGTCACCGATCGAAGTGCCAGAGTATACACCATCAGAGGAGTCGCAGTCTGAAAAGACACCAATAACACCACCACCCACAATTCTGATACGAGCGACCCAATCTATGCCGCTCCCAGAAGGTAGAACAGAACCGTTCATAATAGACAAGTATCGTGGTGATCGCACACTGGGCTGGTCAGGTAACCACCCTGATTTCATCAAGGCGGTTCTTGATGTGAATTCGAACCACTACGAGATGTTTGACAGGGAGAATGATTTGCAGGTAGGAAGTTCAGCATCAAACTGAAATGAATACTTTGAAGATGGTTAACTAACTACACACGCAGATCAAAGACATCACTGCACAGTTGAATCTGTCACTGGAGATTCTAGACAGCATTGGAAATACTACAAACCCGTCTTTCGGTGGTAAGCCAAAGCTGGATTACTTTTAAAACGAGTATTGGCCGTGGGGTGCTTGCTCGGAGCTTGACATTGAGATTGATTTGCGTCTTACAGGGCATCTTTAAGGATAAACATGGTAAACCGGTAATGGAACAAATAATACTTACAGAAAGCAATAGATGGAACAGGCCATAGAAAATGGGGTAGATTGAATAGACCAATGAAAATGAAAAACTGTCATGTCATGTATGCCTGCCTTTTCTTGTTACCCATCAGAGACCATAACCGTCGCAAACTGGACTTGGTAGTTTGGACAGTTGCTCTGGAAAATGAGAGTGGTGGAGCTCTTCGCTCTCTATACACTTGTCACCGTCACATCCAAGCTTTTGAAATGATCAATTCTTGTGTCCTTTCAGCCTTCTACCATTCCCAGCTCAAGCAAAGCAGCCAGGCACGCTTCGAGAGGGGTGTTCCAATGGTATAGCTGACGTAGTGGGACAAGGACTCAAAGCCGGCTAGGCGCGGAGTATCATAGTCCTTGCATGCAACACAATATACTCTACTGACGGATGGATGAATTAAATTACCCTAGCCGTCTACTTCTCCCGACAATAAGCGACTTTTTGAATACGACTCATGGGGCGGATCAAATGAGTACAAGTATGCAGGATCAATGTCTCATGATGTGGTGCTGCCACGCTCCAGCCCCAATCAGGGTCTTATGCACCATCTCCTCTGGTACGTAAGATAGTTCTTTGGTGTAGTAATACAATTTGGTCATTGTCGTTATCTTGCGGAGAAGAACGCATGCAAGGTGAGTCTACATATGCAGACTTCTTGCCTTGTAATGAAGCATGTTCGAGTATGAGATTATACCTCCTCGTCTAAAATTTCCCCACCTCGAGACAAACAATTGTTGCTGCCTGCTGCTACAGGAGAGCAGATTACCTGTATGTAATTATTATCATGGAAGTAATGCCGAAACACATGAGAATTGATCCCCACCAATATCGCAGAGGATATTCATTAAGATATCTGGGAATAGTTCTTATAATGGCGACCGTTTTGTGTGATTTCAGCAAGCTATGTGAATAATATCCAGTTTCCCAATTATGCAACGTGATAAAGGCTCAAGTGTGCCTTAAAGGTGATGAAACATGATGGAAATAAACATGAGTGAGTCTGAAGAAGGACATTAGAGCGTCACATAAAAAATGCCCCGCATCAACCCCGCCATCGGCGCAGTAGCGATATGTAGCCGTGGACAGGGCGTGCATGAAGCTTCAACTTTGAGCCGTTCTTTATACTAATAGATTCTCCAGAATCTCAATTCTAGCCTGACATAAAAAATAGATCCAGGTACCATCAGAAACGACAAGACTAAAGACGAGGCAAGCAGTTAACAAGCAGAAGAAGCTGTGGCAAGGATGGCGACGACACGACCAATCACTTCTTTCAAGGCCCTCACCTTTGACTGCTACGGCACTCTCGTGGACTGGGAATCTGGCATCTACAACAATCTCCAACCTCTGAATCAACGACTCGCCAACTCACATCCCCTCAAGAACAATCGTCTCGGCTTACTCAAGGCCTTGGTCCGACACGAGGGACTCGTCCAGACAGCCAACCCAACCTACCTATACCACGCCGTACTGGCCGCCGCCTATGGTAATCTCGCAGCTGAGCTGGGCGTCTCGGCTGACGAGGAGGCAAAGTCAAAGTTTGGATTCGGTGTCGGCGACTGGGCCATTTATCCAGACACTCTCGATGCGCTGAAGCGGCTACATAAGCACTTCAAGCTTGTGATCTTGTCCAACGTAGACCTTGATTCATTCAAGCGTACGTTGGAGAAGCAGTTCCAGGGCTTCCCTTTCGATGCCATTTACACAGCTCAAGAGATTGGGTCATATAAGCCGGACTTGAACAACTTCCGATACCTCATTGAGCACTGTGAGAAGGACCTGGGCGTTGAGAAGGGAGGCATCTTACACACGGCACAGAGCCTGCATCATGACCATGTGCCGGCCGCGCAGATTGGATTGACGAGTGTTTGGATTGAGCGAGGCGAGGAGGTTGAGAGCGTCATGGGCGGAGATCCAGAGGCGTATGCCGACAGGGTGTCGTATTCATGGAAGTTTACGAACATGAAGGAGATGGCCGATGCGGTTGATGCCGCCGCAAAGAATGCGTAGAGAGGTGTTGTAGAGGAGACAGAGATATGCATAAACTAGAGTTATTTCGTCCATCCCTCTCCATATCATGGACGTTGGAGTCCTGTGCTCAATATAAACAGCGCTGCAACGGTATTCTTCGTCGCGCCCTGGTCGAATATAATCAGGTATTAAACGGATTTAATGCTTATCGTCGATATCATCACCGTCATGGAGCTGAAGACTAAATTTAGATGACACGCGATTTAACGCAATTCCCATGAGAATCATGGCCAACATTTTCTAGGTGAATTACATCATTGGCTCCTGGGCGTGGCTGTGCTATGATCCTTCCGTAACAGCTACCATGTGGCGCTGAACGCCTCACCAGCGCTGGGTATTACCGCATTTGGCAACTGGCTGAAAAGAGGATTTTCGGGGGATGAGAAGAGGGAAACGGATTTGGGATATAAAGCTGGTGATCTGGGAGCAGCTTGGTGAATATATTCATCATTAAAATCTTTTACTCTCATCTCATCTTCAGCAAGAAATTCATCAGTCCATCAATACTGGTACCTACACAAGACAAGCCATCTCTATCCTGTATCATACACTTGTCACAATGGGCGGTGCCGAATCAAGAGAAGCTCACCAGAAAATCCACAAAGCCTCACTGGATGGTGTGACATTCCCAAAGACATTGGAGCTCAACTACGACCCCTCATGGAAGAAACTCAAGCTATCCCTCGACCACGGCTCTCAGCCGCTCTACATGTTCAACCTACCACAAGGTTGGTGGGGGGACCTCATCATGTACAACGGCCCTACCCTGGATTCTCCCCCGCTCGCAGCAGTCCGCAACTCTGGCAAGACAGCCATGGGCAATGTCGTCACGCTGCCACCTCTCGGCCCCGGCCAGGAAGTCATTGAGGAGAAAATGTCCCGCCGAACGAAACGCTTCATGGACTTGTATTCCTTTACCGTGCCCGTACCCCAGAGAGAGGGGGAGAAGACAACGCGACGTGTCGAGCGGTTCGAGTGGGTGGGCACAGGCGGGAAAGAGGTCAAGGACTTGCATGAATGGGTCCGTGGATGGAAGCTCAGGCGAGTTGTGGAGAGCTATGCAGATGCATATGCGGGCTCGGATGATGAGAAGGATGAGGATGGAGACGTATCGACGTATGAGAACACGGACGGAGAGATTCTGGCCGTCTGGGCGGATGCGACGGGCCTGAGCAAAAAGGCTGCCAAGTTCGAGTTCATTAATAGTGGAGCGACCGGTGAGCTGGGGGAGGCGTGGGCCGTCATGGCGGTCATTACTTTTGTGAGAGTATGGCAGAGATATATGCAGGTGGTAATGGTGTAGGCGGGATACGTAGGCGAGGGATGAGGCACGGGACGAATTCGTGCTAAGGACGAGGTCGGATACCGGCGTGGTTTGGGCCTATTACATTATGTGGGATGCCTGTAGAGGGCTTGTAATATAAGCATAGAGTAATTAAAAACTCCGTTTATACGCTTTTGGATGACTGATCCGGGGCTGTAAACCGCACTTCTTGTAAGGCAAAAACTCGACTCAGTAGACAGGGAGTAGTGACCTTCGATTGGGCCACGCAGGTCAGAAGGCAGAGGTTTATTTCGCAAATATTTGTACTACTTTATCTGATCTATTTGAAGTCAATCCAATCTCTTGATATGCTCCCGCCTTTGACACTCTCAATCAGTAATGTCATGTCTTCTATAAACGTAAATACACACACTAATGCCAGACATCCCGCGACGGACGCCACAAGCGTTTCAGGAACAATTCCAAGTCAATATAACATACTACGTGGCAAGCCAGAAGCCAAGTATCAAATTCCATTTAATTAATTCTTCCTAGGCAACAATTTATCCCGTGCCGCCTGAGAATTAGGAATGCATCCGCACGGGTACATCACATGCCCTAATAGAAGCAATTCACCTCTCTCGAGCGCCCACCTCGAACCGCTTCGCTTCGGCTCCAAGGTATTGCGTCGGACTTGCATCTCTCATTACGACTAGCTAGAATGCCATGTTGACGTATCAAGTCTCACACAGGCCATGATGTACATGTATATTGATTGGGTTGGCACCTGTACTCGTCAGTGCTGCAAGAAGGTAACGATTCGCTTCTCGTTCATCCGCTCGGGCCTTTTCTACCCCCGACGAGGCCATTACGAACTGACTAGATAAGATCCCCACGCGCACGGGAGGCTTTGTAACACAAAAAGAACCATCGATAGTTCCCGTTTCCATGTTTCCAAATCGGGATACTTCTGCGTGTGCCTCTATGGTTAGACTCAGCCATCACAGTAATAAACAGCCCGTTGGGAGTACTACATGTAGGGAAGTGGCTTCAGCCCCGTATGCACCTTTGTCCCCTTTTGGCACGGCACGGCACAGGGCTGATGTGTCCAGCCGCTTGCAACACTCACCGGCTGCTCGTCCACCATCTGAGACAACACCAGGAGGTTCATTGGTTGGTCATTGACGCAGCCCCCTCGCGTCTACTAACGCTATATCGAGGCGGAGGTCATGCAGCATGTGAAATTCATGGATTTACACCCACCCCATTCGTTTGGACTCGACCTCATCAAACATGTATCATCCAGCACGGACTGTGCTTCATACTTCGGATGCCGATACCTGTATGGACCATGTCCTTGCATCGGCTTATGCTGTCGTATATGGACATCTATGATGAGGAGAACTGATCTGGCAGAGTTCTAATGTACTTAGGATGTCTTAAATGCTGTCAGATAGATCCAAAACCTATGAGCCTATTACAAGACCTCGGCTCGAAGATCGTAATATTGCGTCTGTTAGTGCCATCTATCGACAAGTAGACGTGCCGGATGTTCAGGTATCGTCCCGAGAGCCGTCGGTAAGGAGTTAAGCGGCCAGACTAAACATGCCTAGTCTATACCCCTACCTTGTATTCATAGTAAGCTTCATCGTCGTATACTAAGAACTTGTGTGGCCTCGCGTAGGCAACGACTCCTCCCATCCAGGCTTGTACTGGCTGACATCAGAATACAACGCTAGTGTGTCTCAAGGACGGCTGAGGGAGAAAAGGCGGCGACTGATTTGCCTTGTTTCTCATCGACGTAGTTTACGACAAGAATGGTGCAATGCTACTATGTGTAGGACTGCGTCAAAGGACCCGAATCGAGCATCACAGCGCTTAGGAGTCTGTTGTTTGATCCGCATCTCCCCCCCTCCCTCCCTTTTCCTTCCCACCACAAGACGTTTTTTTGTGTCTCAATGTCGATTGACTCCAGACACCCCTTTCGAGAATAAGAAGGCGCCGTTTCCCATCTTCCCTTGACTACCATCAGTATCTTGGATCACACAAGCAATTTGCACTTGGTACTCTTTTACCCAGATTTTCTTCCTGATTTCGTTATCTTGCACAGGGAGTTTTACTCTAAATTTTCGTTTTTCGTTTTCTTGGAAAGTTGACAGCAGAAGCAAGTCTTTTTTTTTTATTGAGGGCTATCCTGAGCCATACAAACTCAAATCCTGAATTTCTTTTGTTACAGAGAGCTATCCTGAGCTACTCTTATTCACTCCTGACAGAGAGCTATCCTGAGCTACTCTTACAAACTCCTGATAGGGGCTATCCTGAGCCACCCCTGAACTGACTCCTGATCATTAAAGATTTTTTTTTTGAAAACAAAATTGAAGATTTTCTTGTTTTGCAATAAAAAGAAAGCAAACTCTTCTAAATTTTATATATCATCTTGACTTTATCAACATCATGTCTTCATTCAGGTCCGCTCAACGTGCAGTCCGTGCTTCTGCACCCCTGCTTCGTTCTTCACCTCTCTTCACCAACCGGGGCAGCCAACGTTTGTTTCACGAGTCTAGCAAGGCCAAGGCCGTAGAGGCTATCGCCACCCAGACACCACTGAGCAACGGCCCGCCCCCTCCCCCTTATGTGGCTCAACAGGTTCAACAGCAGCAGCAGCAGCAGCAGATTTCGCAGCCAACCCCCCAGGTAGAGGGCTACACACAGCTCAACGTCAGAGATCAAGCGTATAACCCCAAGTTCTACGAGACCATCGGCAAGATCATGAAGCTTCGCGAAAAGTACCTGCGTGATCGTGCCATCTTCGTCGAGTCTGAGGAGATGATCGAACTTATGCTCGGACTCGGCGCCAAGGAGTCTGACATCCCCGGCATGAAGACTGTCTCAGACAAGCTGTACCACGACCCTACCCTGCCCTTCCGCCTGACGCGCAACAGCCGCTTCTGTCTCGATTTTGATACACACTCTATTCGCCGCCTAGAGTTCCAGCCTTTTTGCCTGACCGTCGAGGAGGATTTCAACCGCTACGACTCTGGTGCTATCCGCCGCTTTGATGAAGTTCAGAATGACTTGCAGCTCAACTCAATCTTCCAGGCACTCTTCGTCTTCAAAGCCATGATCATCCATGGCATGGAGATCGCCCACCGCCCTAAGCTAGAGTACGGAATTAACAAGTGGGTGTGCACCCTGTTCAGCCTCCGCACTGTCACCACTCCCCATATTCTGGGAGAGCCTGCGCTCGAGGGTGTGCACTCGGATGGTGTTGACCACACCATGACCACCTTTTTGGGAAGCTACAACATGTCAGACAACAGTGCTGCCACATTCATGCATGACATGGAGGAGAAGACTGGCATCCGCCTGGAAGAGATTCAGCCCATCCACCTGGTTGGTCGAGTCCAGCACAAGCGGTTCCTTGATACGCTCATGGTCGTCGATCACGAGCGTAAGCACAGCTTGTCGCCTGTTTTCCCCGTCGATAAGACCAAGGAGGCACACCGTGACATGCTTGTCTTCTTCACTCGCAAACCTGTGGAGCAAGGCCACGTGTCTGGCGGCATCGACTCACTCAAACCTCACAAAGATCTGCCTATGGAGATTCCTCTTTACTTGCCTGGTGCCAACTAGAAAACTCACGATACTGAATGAATATTTAGAGTTCTTTGCTCACACATGAGATGAACTAGCGGGGGTGATCTCGGACATTTGGATGCGGTTCAATTGCGTTAGGTGCATTTGGTGGATCATCTGGGGTGGTGTGGACTGCATGATAAATTGACGCCATTTTCTTCATGTGTAAGGCATCTTCTTGCCCCTTATTTATTGTATAAAGGGAGATGAGAGATGCAAAGTGAAAGGTGAAAAGGTTGTTCTTTTAATTGCTTCTCTTAGGAAACTTTACCTTTGTTTCATCTTCTCTGTTGTTATTGGCTCATGAGCTAGATTGTTTCTCATGGATGTACACAGAGCTACGTTCTTTTCTCTCCGGGCTTTTGCGACACGCATTCATGGTTTGACGAACTCTATACATGTTTCCGGATTTTGGTGATATTTATGGATTGTTCGAATCTTTTGTCTGGCCTTGCTAGTGTTATCCTCTTACGTTTGAAACGGTATACATGTGCCTACGATTCTGATAGTTTTCACTTACAATTGACCGGGTGATACCCAAGATTGGTAACTACATCAAAGTGCAGTCATAGATGGTATTGTTTTGGGGTTTAATGGTCACAATATCACTAAATTGTGTGGTAAAACGATGTACATAATGCCTAGGTGTGTTTGCATTTCTAAAATCTTCCTTCAACAATTTCTAGGAGAAGCAAATGAGGGCGGAGGGTCACCATGAGGCAGCTCAACGGGGGCATCGCGAAGACCCTGAGCGATTAGATAAGATCCATCAGACCCCTCTAGAAGAAATAAATCCCCCCTTTGTGTTTTGCCTTGGTGAGTCCCTGTATTTGTGTTAATTAATGCATGATGTGTTCATGTTTTGAGCTCTGCAGCCACTATATGCAAGCAATGCCTTATAATGCTTACAAGCATGATGGCACTTCTACTTACATACTTACGATATCTTCATACATGGCGGATACATATGTACAATGCGTTCCCTCCCTTACATTCTACCCCCACTCTCACAGGCAAGGCCAGGGTCCTACCCAACGTCATTTCGGCCAGACGCCTGCTGCAAGGAGGTGCTACTTCAGCACGCTATTCAGCCACTCAATTAATGTGGTGTAATATGAAGGATGCAGGAGAATATGAAAGCTATATTAATGGCTTCACCGCTTGTTTCGACCCTGACTTGTGATTGTATCACATCGTAAAGTCAACAAAGCAATGCAGGGGAAACATCGTCTTTATGAAACTAGCACAACCGCGGGCTGACTGGACTAAGACTATACATATGAAATATTGAGAGAAGTACATACTAACGAAGGACAAAAAAAATGTTATGGTAATTGACATAGAAGATGGTGTGTAGGGTCAATAACTAACAGAAGTAGAAAACACCGAAATCAGGTAGCTGGCGCGACAAACATGTACATCTTTCAGGCAAAGCCCGCCTCAAACTTCATTAAGAATTTGCCAAGGAAGAAGATTGAGATCATATAGGCAAGACGAAGGAAGGGCGGGGTTAAAGAGCAGCCTGATGGATGGTATAATAATCCATCAGTGCCATGTGATACCTATGCGGCTCTGTGGGCTTCCTTTATGCCCTTGGCAGCTAATTTGCCCAAGTTTTCTATGCTTCCAGCACCCATAAACTCAAGCACGCTGACGTTGACTCCAAGTGTACGGCGCCACCAATTACGAATCTCGATGGCAACAAGCGAATCAACACCGAGCTGGGTCAAATTCAGGCTGAGGTCTAGGTCCTTGACATCTCGTGACATGAGGTTGTAAATACACGTGCCAATCTGAGCTGTCAGAAAATCGAGGTTGCTCGGTGTATCAAGCAGCGAGGGATTGGCGTTGACGCTCTTCATGAACTGACCAAAGTCCTCGGATCCGGTTGAAGCACCGGAAGTTGCACCGGGATCTTGGAGATGTGCTTGGGCCATGCGTCGGTCGCGCTTCCAAATGGAGCGATTATTAGGATCGGAGAATGGCTTCGTGCTCTTGAGGCCGATGGTGAGCTCTGCTGGGTTAACGAAGCCATCGTCTGAAGAGGACGCCGCTGGGTGCTGATGAGACAGGGTATACGCGAGGGCATCGAGGAGTTCAGTTTTACCCATTGTATAGAAGTTGTGAGCACGAAACTGCTCCAAGAGAGCTGGGTTTTCAACCACGTATCCAATATCGTCCACAACACCTACATTCACCACACCTGCAGGCAAACCCTGCCGGTGACGAAATTGAGTAAACGCCGTCAGGTAAGCATTGGCTGCTGAGTAGTTTGCCTAGCCCACTTGGCCTACGACATAGGATATGGAGCTGAATAAGGTGAAGAAGTCCAAATCACAGTGTTCCAAAGCTTGATGGAGATTGATGGCGCCGTCAACCTTGGGCCTGGCCGCCGCAAACCAATCATCATGAGAGAGCTGTAGAATACCACGGTCCTATTTATACTCTTGTTAGCCTTGATTCAACGTGCAAAACGTATGTGAACTTACCCTCAGAACCATAGTCATCAAGAAAACGCCCGCAATTGGCATTGTCGCCTGTTCCACCGCTCGGTAGACATCTTGGAGGCTTGTGACGCTCCCTTTGATGGCCTGGACCGCACACCCTTGTGATTCGATCTCTTTGATAAACCTCTTATCTTGTTCAGAATCCCCGGCGGATCGTGACAAGTACATTATATGACGTGCGCCGTTTTCTACCATCCAGTTGGAGACAGATTTGCCCAAGCCGCCGAATCCTCCAACTAACAGGTATGTCCTGTCGGATTTAAACTTTACAGCTTGAGGTTTTGTCGCCGATTGAAGCTTTGATTGGTCTTTTGGCATGGATACGACAATTTTGCCAATGTGTTGGCCCTTTTGCATGTATCGGAAAGCCTCGATGATATCCCCGGCCTCAAAGTGCTTCACAGGTGCGATGGGCTTAATAGCACCCTTCTTATAATATTTGTTGAATTGTTGTAAGATCTTCTTGCACATGTCTGGCCTTTCAACAGCCATTTGCGACATGTCAATCCCATGAAATGAGCGGTTGGACTCGAATACTTCCATCCCCAGCTGCCCTCGGCCGATGAAGTCGCGTTTTCCAATTTCAAGCATCTTTCCAAACGGAGCGACACACTTCCATGAAGTGTGCAACAGCTCTCCTGATAAAGAGTTGAGTACTAAATCAGCGCCTCGGCCATTAGTAACAGTCATGAGGTCACCATAGAATGAGACGTCACGAGAGTTAAAGATGTGCTCGCGAGGAATCCCAAAGTTCTCAATCAGATACTGGACCTTCTCGGCGTTGCCGACAGTGGCGTATATAACGGCACCCATCATTTTACAGATATTGAGTGCCGCAATACCGACACCACCACAAGCAGAATGGACAAGAAGTGACATGCCCTCACACAGTCCGCCCAAGTTGATGAGTGCATGGATTGCAGTGGCATAGACGCATGGAACTGTAGCAGCATCTTCAAAACTAAGGTTACCGGGAATTTTGACCACAAGACTTGCCTCTGAGATGAAGCTTGTTGTAAAGCATCCGTGACCAATGGTCATTACTCGATCTCCAGGTGAAAGGCCTTCAACATTACTGCCGACTTTGTGGACGATACCGGAACATTCAATCCCAAGGCCCGGTTTGTAACCTTCAACAATGCCCATGGCAACAAGAACGTCTTTGAAGTTCATACCAACAGCACGGGGCTCAATCTCGACTTGACCGTCTTGAAGTAGTTTTGTCTCGTCTTCTGCCCACTGAAGCGTTTGTAGTTGGCCCATGCGAGCAATTTCAAGCTTTTCGGGAGACTCGGATTTTGTACGAGGTGTCTCTCCAGCATGCTCCGCGATATCTATCCATTGATATCGTGGTATCATAACCCTTCCATTGACAATTGCGTACTCCCAATCAGGATCAAACTCGTCATCCTTAACTCTATTGCAGAATTTGTGGAAAACATGTAGAATGCTTTCCGCATCGAAATTCGCCAAGTCCACCTCTAACGTAGCAAAATCTAGTGAAAGCTCGGATCTGATATTTCGAGTTGCGCCAATGGACGTTGCGTACCGAGGATCTTGTGATCCGACTTGGGCGTGTCCGGTAACCCACAGTAGCCCTCTTTCAGCTGGAAACTTGCCAAGATACTTCTGCCATGAGGTGAAAGTATCTTCAGTCATCTCAAAGAACATTGTGTCGTGAAGGTCTAATAGAGAAATAACATCTGCCTTTGGATCAGGCTCTTGTGAAATAGTACGCAATTCGACTTCGTAGCCTATCTCGCTCAGTAACTCGGAGAGAGCATTTGTATGATCCTGGGAATATGATTGTCCAAGAAGAGTGACCTTTCCAGGCTCGCGAATAGGAGTAGCTACAGTAGTGAGAATGGTCGCTGTCATATGGTCATCGTCCATAATCAGACCTTCGCTCCCCGAGAATCCAGCATCTATGAGAAGGTCATGCCACTGATGTGCCTCATGCAGGCGCTTGTCCACGCGATCATCTTCCATATCTCTCTGCCAATCGGGAGTGAAGCCAATTATAAATTTATAAAAGTTCGCACTAGGTGACAACTCTTGTATAAGCAATCGACCATTTGGTTTGATGAGTTTGTGAATATTCTGAAGGGTATCTTGAATATGAGGGGACAAATGAAGGGTTCTATTGGCAATAATGAGATCGAATGAGGAAAGGTCAAAGTCTTGCGATTTAGGATCTTTGGAGATGTCCAGGATCTTGTATTCGATATTGTCATAACCCTCTAGTTCCTTACTTGCAAGATGGATAGTCTCTTCGTTTTGGGCGGTGTAGACGTATTTGCTATAACTGCGCTCGCCGATCGAGTTAACGAGGGCTTTCACAGTCGCAGCAGTGGTATTGGTGGACCCAGATCCAAGCTCCAAGACCCTCATTGTTGGATTGATATGAGCCAAAGAGCTGAGCAGCACTGAGAAATCACTCTTTCCACTGAGAAAACTGCACAAATCATCAAAATGTCCATCTTGTTTGAGTATATCATCGGCGTTCTCTGCGCCCTTGAAGATTGCCTCAGCTGCTGCAGCTAGTCGACTAAGAAGCAGAGAAATTTTGGCACACCCAGTGTGTAGGAGGGGCTTCTTTGCAGCGTCGATTTCTGTTTTCAATTTCTTCGAATTAAGACGAGCGAGACGAGCGCAATCCGGGACATTCTCGTAATCCCCATTGAGAGCCTTTGTTCGTTGGTTAGTGAGCCATTTGTGAACTGTGCCAGGTGGGCAGAGGCTGGGAGGCGGTCAATTCGTCGAAGTACATCCAACTGATATAAAAGAGCTAATTTCTCAACCTCTGACACCTCGCCTGGAGGTGAGCGGACTGATTGTATAAGGTTATTTGGAGCAATGAAATCGACATGGGGTTTCCAGTGTAAGTGAGCAGCTCGTAGCGGACAAGTTTCATCCGTATCGCCACTTTCCAGAGGACTAAACTCTCCATTTCTTAGACTCAAGATCACTTTATTATCGGCCATGATGGTGGCAGAGCCGCGAATCGCTCCCGTTACGCTTGATACCGCAGCCGTTCCGAGGCGCATTTCTGGCTGACCATTGTTGATGTAGAGCTCATCGATATAGGTTGGGACACAAAGTTGTTTGAGTTTGCGAGTCAACCCATCAGCAATCGCTACCGTAAAGGCTTGTAGTACAAGGTCAATTATACTGGGATGCAAAGGATAATAAGGATCCAGTGTTGGATCGCGATTCCTAATAGTAGCTGCAGCAGTATTTCTCCCCGGGTGAGCTGAAATGTTGGATAAGCCTTGGAAATCGGGGCCGTAGTTCAGTCCAACTTTCTTCATGGCGCGATACCAGCCTGCAGTGGAAACCTGGCGCGGCTGTTCATCAACATCTTCGGAGCCGGCGCTGATTTCTTTTCCTGCTCGGACCTTTCCAGTACAGTGCTTGGTCCAGGAAGTGCCGTTGAAAGACGAAATGGAAAACTCGTACCAAACAGAATTAAGCTTTGAGGTGAGACGAACTGGACGGAGATGCGTAATAATCTCGTGTGCTTGTTGTTCCTTTAATACCAAGGCATTTTGAATCTCCACCTGTCTTAGAGATGCATCCGTTTCGTCGCCACCGTTGAGCTGTCTTACAGCCTCAATAGCCATTGCGATATAAGCAGCAGCGGGCAAGACAATGTCATCTTGAATCTTATGATCTCGAGCCCAGGGCACATTATCCAAGCGAAACATGTTTCTCCAAGAAGGCTCCAAGTCGTCAGATTCGAGAATGCGGTTTCCAAGGAGTTCGTGAGGAGGGAATTTGCGAAGACGCCATTCTCGTGAAACTCGACTCTCATACCAGTACGTGGTATCATGTTGCCAAGCATAGTTGGGAAGATCTGTCAACACGGTGCGGCCTGTCGTCGTGGCTGAAATGTCCACAGAGGCAGCCTCTTGATATAGACGCCCAAGAGAGCTGAGTAATGATTTAGGCCCATTTTCGTTTCTAATGAGTGTCGGAATGTAAGTTGATGCAGTGGACATCTGGATAGACTTGAGGATATCTCGAAGCGGGCCAGAGAGAGCAGAATGGGGACCTATTTCAAGATAGACTGTATCTCTAACAGCAGAGTGCATCATAAGCTGGACTGCTGGAGAAAACAAGACTGGGCTTTCCAGGTTCTGTCTCCAGTAAGATGGTCCCAGCTGCCCGGCTCTCTTGATCTGCCTTTTAGTGACGCTGGAGAAGAAGGGTACAATGGGCTTCGCATCTTTTATGAGACCATCGAGCAGCTTCTCGTATGTATCACCAATCTCACGCATGTGGTGCGAATGGTAAGCCCTCTCGACTCTCAACTTACGAGCAAAACAGTCGGGCATGTCTTCCTTGATATGAGAAATCACCTCGTCCAAATGGTCCACGTCTCCTGACAAAGTCACACTCTTGGGACTGTTCTCACATGCCACCGCAATGCCGTCCTGGAGATAGGGTGTCACATCATCGCAACCGAGACCAATGGCTGCCATTGCACCGATTCGTCCATGATGCTGCGTCACTTGCCCGCGATAGTAAGCGATTATAATGGCTGCTTCGAGAGTCAGAGCGCCGGCTGCATATGCGGCACCCATCTCACCACTGGAATGGCCTACTACGGCCTCGGGCTTGACACCCCATCCTTTAAGAACATTGACAATACCGATTTGAAGAGCTGTGCAGATTGGCTGTGAGAATTCGGGCTGCTGTATTTTGCTTTCTCCTTGAGGTCGCTTGAGCTCTTCCTCTATTGTCCATTGAGGAGGATGAGGCAGGCTCTTGAGAGTAGCATCCATTTTTCGTATATCGTCTTGAAAGGAGGGATATTGTTCTAAAAGGTCGGCACCCATTCCTGCCCATTGGGCTCCTTGACCGGTAAAGACAAAATTGACCTGAGGGGGATCCTTGTGCTTGATGATGGGGGAAAGTTCAGGGGGGTTTACACCATCATAAATAGCAAAAGCTCGCTGGCTCAAGTCTTCTCTTCTCGCTCCGAGGGTGTATGCCAGATCTGGCACCCTGTCTGGATGCCGTTCAGCATAATTAAATATCTCTGACGCTCTTTGTTTCAATGAATTAGCCTGGTGGGCGGAAACGACTAATAACTGAGGGCTCTTGGTAGAGACCTTTTCTTCTTGTGAGATGTATGGCCTGGCTGAATCAACAATAACCTATTCGGCTGTTAGTGAACTCTTTTCAGCATTATAAACTCAAACTACGTACATGAGCGTTGGCACCTCCCACGCCAAAGCAGTTCACTGATACACGCTTCAAGCGGTCCTTTGGCCATGGAGTTGGCGTCGTTGGGACTTTGAAATGGTATTTATCCCATTTTACTTTCTCAGTTGTCAGCTTCGCTAAACATTAAAGAGTGCATGTTGGGGTATTGCCTCACTTTTAGGACTAGGCTCAGAGAAGTTGATCTGTGGTGGGATTGTCTCATGTTCCAGAGACAAGACAGCCTTGATCAAGCTGCTCAAACCAGATGCGCCTTCTCCGTGGCCAATGTTTGGTTTCACCTGAAAGACATACCGTTAGTTTGTCTCTTGTCAGGCGGAACTAGTTTGTATCTGAGGCAACAACTGACCGATCCGATGTATAAACCATGGTCGCCAAAGACTTGGCCTACTGCTCCTGTTTCCATCGGATCACCGACCGATGTGCCTGTCCCATGACATTCGACGAAGGCTGTGTCGCTAATATTCGAGATCTTGGCTACGTTGTAAGCACGACGCATGAGAGCTATATGTGCTTCTTGATTAGGATTGGTTATGCCAATAGTTTTGCCGTCAAAGTTGGTGGCTGTCGCCCGGACGACACCTCGGATCGGATCGCCGTCGCGAATCGCATCCTCGAGCTTCTTAATAAAGACTGCATTGACTGCTTCACCGCGCGCATATCCGTCTGCTTTGGCATCAAACGTCTTGCATGAGCCCGTTGGTGAAAGAACTCCTTGTTCGGATAAGGCGATAGTCATAGTCGGCGATAGAATTAAACTGGTTCCAGCAACAACTGCAGACTCACACTCGCCGGCATATATGGCTTGGCAGGCCTCGTGGAGTGCAACAAGTGAAGACGAGCACGCAGTACGAATAGTCATGCTATTAATGTGTCAATCATTAACACTAGACGATGGAAGGAACATATCATTCTAAACATACCTGGGGCCTCTCAAATCATATTCATAAGATGCGCGGTTGGATAGTGCAAAATCCCCCCCGGTCAAGATTCGGTGCGTGCCTAGATGCTGAGGATCTTTGGCATAGAGGTCCAGCCAGTCTTCACCAAAGACACCAACGTAGCAGCCAATGTTGCGGCCACGCCAGTTCTTTTGCCCTCCATTCTCCATGCATTCCCAAATCACTTCCAGCAACAGTCTGTGCTGCGGATCAAGCTTCTCGACTTCTGCTTTGCTCATAGAAAAGAATGACGCGTCCCATTTCTCCAGATCGCAGTCTAAATAGTGTCCGTATGTGCTTTTCAACGTACCAGGCGTTCCCAGCTTGCTCTCAAAGGCATGTGCTCCATATCGATTCTCAGGGATCTGTCGTCGTGTATTCCTTTTATTTATGAGGAGATCCCAGTATTCGTCAGTTGTTGTGATTCCACCTGGGAGTTTCAACCCTATTCCCACAATAGCAATTGCTGGTGGTGCGCCGTCCAATGGCTCCATTGCCGGCATCTTCACATGGCTGCTTGTGATGTTCGAGTTTGAAGCTTGCTGTCGCTGCTGAATTCCTTTGAGGCTTGCCATATCATCATATCCCCTCATATTCGCGATTTCGCCTTTAAAACATCAGCCGATCTTGAGACAAACTCTTTCTTGAAGCTGTAAAACAGAAAATATTATATAAGTAATGAGAGTATGTAATTGTCAATCAGCATGAAAATTACAACTATGGAGAAGACTGGAATGAAACCATCTGTGAAAACTGGACATCCCTCCAACCAGACTAAAAGTAAATGTACATTTATACGGGATATTCTGCCGTCATATGCCGAGAGAAGGGACACGGAGTAAAAATCTGAATAATGGCTACAAGGAATGCACCGGCGGGAGTGGCATGGTTGCGACTCTCCAGTTCACTTTTCTGTTGGTGATAAATTCTCCGGTGTGACATGTAACCTTTCTAGCAAAGTAGTGAGTTAGGCTACTCTGATAGTTTGAACATTGACTGGTCAATGCTCCAAGACAAGCTGTGCTCATGTCTCATCCATCCCTGGTTAGTATAATATCCTCTATTTTGTGTAGCGACTAGTTCTCTCGTCCCTCAACAAAGGGAACCATATGTATAGTCCAACAGTCCTTCTAAATTCTTCTAAATTAACAATGTCATTTAGCCAGCTATAAATATGTAGTCAGAAGGGGTAAATTTTATATGTGCCCCCTCAACCTGCTCTCAATGAATTAGATTATGCCTTGTTGATTTACATATGAATTATTGGGGCTCTAGTTTTCACCAGACCCCCCTCTTGACTCTTCTTCAGGAAATGTCGGGCCTGATGACCTCTTAATTCACATGTAACAGAAGTTCGATGGAAAGAAAGAGGGGGCAGCCCCGTCAAAGGTCTACTAACAGTATTCCGTAATGCAGACTGCTAAAGGCACATGTAGCATTCCATTATCCTGTCTAAGAGAGTATGCAGAAAAATGTACTCTCAACGCCACAATGCTTCTCTATCCATACATCGTGCTTTATAAAGTCTCATGCTGCGCTCTGAGACGTCGAGGCTGGGATCATTGGATGATGGACTGTGCCTCGATGGATGTATGAAGCAAGGGGCAACGGACTGTTACGCTGGTGCATTGTACACAGTAGTCAACTGATCTTTACGCAATCCGCGCGGAATTTGAAGCTGAGCCTTGTGATACTTCACTAGAAGTGAATATATACTACTGAGGCTGTATTTTTTGAAGATGGTGTATATACCCCCTCATTCTATTGGAGAAAGCATCTTCTTCGTAGGATGAAATTGTTTCGGAAGCATTGTCTGATAGAGTGCCAAACTTGCGCGCGGCAGTTTCACCACCATACCAAGGACGCCACGATAGTGAACTCCGTGATGACGCCCATGAAGACCGAAATATCATCATATCAAGACACCGTAAAGGGTAGCAGCCGACGGATGCCGTTCTATCTTGTATCTTGGTTGATCTTATCCTTGTGTCATCGAGATCCGGGCCTCTCATATGTTATATATGACCTACGTATTATATGACAAGTCATATGATAAATGGTCTAGACCAAGCCTCAACTGTCCTACTACGTAACATCCTACTAAATGACATCTTGCTACTTTACATCCTGCTACATGACATCAGAAAGAAAAAACGCATGTAATCAAGCTGTAGCTAGCATTTTATGACTCCCTACGTCGTGTTTCATAATCGTACGATAAATCAGGGCTGCCCTTCGATTCGCGAGAACTTATTAGCACTATAGCGCACTTAAGCCTTCTTCCAGAAGGATGTTTCCGTTGTATGGAGGAACATAGTCGCGCAACTTGATGGAGATGGTGGATACAACGGTCAGTCTTGCGTAGAAGATCGCTACATTCGCCTCTTTGTGAGCCCTCATACTAACTTGTTCTGTGAACCGCAAAATCACTCATCATCCTCGCTGTCTTCGTCATCAGAGGATTCGTACACATATACCTGTAGGACCTTTGGCAAGGCCTTTGCCCTGCCTGTCTCAAATACTTTCTTCGCCCGCTCCTTCATCTCACCTCGTTTTGTCTTACCACTGGCTGATTTAGGAAGTGCTTCAAGAAACTCGATTCCTCCAGCTAGGCGCTTATACTCGGATAGCTCGTTATTCACGAAGGTGTGGATCTTTTGCTTAAGCATACGCTCATCTTCCTCCTGACCGGCGGGTGATCGCACGATGAAAGCGAGTGGCAGTTCGCCCGCGGAATCGTCTGGAATTGGGACGATGCAAACGTCCGCGATGCAAGGGTGACGCAACAAGAGAGTTTCAACTTCTGTCGGAGATATTTGCAGGCCCTTGATGAGTGTTAGTGGGCATACAAGGTCCTTTATATGTAGAAGAATATTGATCCACACTTACCCTAACCTTGATCATCTCCTTGACTCGATCGACAATGAAAAGATGCTCGTGCCCATCATCACTCTTGCGAAACTCCATCAGATCGCCTGTTCGTAGCCACCCATCGCTTGTAAATGTTTCCTTTGTTGCTTTCTCATTATCAAGGTACCCCAACATCACTGATGGCGACCGCAGAAGAAGTTCGCCAGGAGTGTCCAGCTCTGTCACTTCTTCGCCATTTCGGCTTATCAGTCGGCCCTCATAGCCAGGGAAAATATGACCACAGGAGCCAAACATGACGTCTGCCTTGTTTTGCATAGATACAACAACGGAAGTCTCGGTGAGTCCATATCCTTGAATGAGCTGACAATTGGGGAAAAAGCGAGCAAACTGTTCATTGACGTCTTTTGTGAGATTGGAGGCGCCAACTACGGTTGTCTTGACATGATCGAGACTATATTTTGCGGTGATGGCAGAGTTCTTGATCAAAGCAACTATCATGGGAGGTACCTAGGAGCCAGTACGTTAGTATCAGATCATTTTCCGCTCATAAAACTCAGAATATGGGGGCATTGGGAGGCATCTTACCATCCAGAGCGTCTCTATGGAATGCTTCTGTACGGCCTCCAAGACGTCAACAAGATCAAATCCCGGCAGTACGACTGCATTGTAGCCTCGATATACACCAGAGTGTCCAGTAACGATTAGAGCGTAACTGTGACTCATGGGAAGCACAGCTAAGAGTGATTCTAGCTTTCCGCTCTTGTAGTTGGATTCGTATGTGCTCATTTGTAGCGTATTCGCGATAACATTTTTGTGCGAGATCATGACGTTTTTCTGAGACGTATCTGTCAATTACCATAATTGCAAACTGGCAATCAATCGAGCACAAACTCACCGGTAATCCAGATGTTCCACTGGAGGAGCATAAAAATGCAGTTTGGCGGGCACCTTGACCCTGCTCCCACTTTAGCTGCGGCAGCGGAGGTAGTTTCTTTCCCTCAGAAATCAGCTGCTCGACCGACTTCATATCAGTTGGAATTAAGGCACCTTTTAACGCCTTCTTTGGAATTTCCAACAGATAAACGTGCGTCTTGGGGATATTCGCCGCAGACGCCGCTTCAAGAGCCGTAGGGAGGAGCGTCGCACATGTAAAGAGAGCCTTGCATTTAACTGCCTTAAGCTGTCTTGCAAGCTCTGCAGCAGAATACGAAGGGCTTATAGGCGATGACACTCCTGAGAAATGATGGGTAGCCCATGAGATGGTCATTGTGTCTATCTATACGACGTGTAGATGCGTTTAGTTGAGTGATCACTGCCCAAGAAATCGCTGATGCATACCGTATTGACGCTGAACAGTCCTATAACTTTATCGAATTCGCTACCACTATTGACTTCAAATCCCAACTCTGATGCGAGTGCAGCTGAAAGCCATTCTATACGATTCTTCACCTCGGCGGTTGAATACGACTTTCCGGTGATGCCACATGTAAAAGGCGGGAGAGAATTTGCAATCGGATACCGGCCGTACTTGTCACCATCATGAAAGAGGAATTCGTGGATAGGGATTGAGTCCGGAGGGTCGAAAGGCAATTTGTGGATGTAAGATGGAGTAGTAAACGGCATAGTGAAAGCAATAAGCCAAAGTGCGTATCCATCTTGTCGAGCAGCGTCCAGTAAAATGACGATATGCTGGGTTTGGAAGATGCGAGTATACATATACAGGTCCTAGACTTATAAATTAGACCTAGGACAATGGCACAGATACAGCCTCCCTCGTCAAGTCTACTACATGCGAGTGTGCCAGTAAGAAATGAAGAAGCCCACAGTATTTAAGACATATTACGGAGTCTGTATCTAGGGAGTCGAATGTCTCAAGTCTCCCCTTGCTACATACGGGTTGTTAATATGAAACGAAACAGTCAAAGCAGCAAACAAACGTAGGAATTATTGCTACCTATAATAAGAACATGCTCTGAGTGTGAAGTTGGACGATAGCACAGCGAATTAGTTAGCTAAGGGCGAGTGAAAGGCCTCCCTTTGCGAGAAGCCTTCAAAGACAAATGCGACTTCAATTCTATAGAGTTGGGTATTTCCAACAGATCACTCATATAGCCTAAAGACGACCGGCACCCCCCATCATGATGGTCTTCCATGAGTGACCCTCTGAGTGCTGCTTATAATTGAAAGTTATACTGCAGTGTTGAGAGAGATTGCTCATTGGCTGAAGGCTAATGTTATATTATCTTACTGCGCTAGATTAAATACGATCTGTAATACCGGCATGTCCGCTGAAGAGAATCCAGAATCTCATCAATAGAGACGGATCTGGGCACAGAAATCCGATGGCATGATGCCCTACGTCGGCAATTTACCAATTGGACAAAATGAAAATATGCCGCAATTGTTCTTGAGCACACCATCGAAATGCTCCAGAACCACTGCCCAACACCATAGACGGGTAAAAACCTAGCCCTTCTCCAACCTCGCGCCCAATACATATTGTTCTCGTCTAGCGCCCCCATTCGTCCAAGTCTGAACAATCCCCAAAGATGCGGGGACCCAGCCAATTGTCAGACGCACCAACCCGCTGCCAACGGCAAATCTTACCCTCTACCGCACCTGGTGCGACTGCGCTTGGGGTCAAGAGGTCAGAGATGGCGGGCGACTACTGGATGGTGGCGCTGATCGAACTGTGGATTGTTCGGCATTCCAAGATGCGGGGGAAAAGTATATATATATCAGACGACTGGATTGGACATTGACACATTCTAGAGCTTTGGATTCCTCGTTTGAGAAGCTGAAGATTTGCCATTCTTGACGCTACGTTGATCAACTCAATCTTTACAACCACGTCTTAAACGATACCACCTACACAGAGATGGACCAGTCACTGAAGATGGGCGAGCCTTCGTCACAGAGTCCATCCAAGGGTTATGTTTTTGATCAGAAGAAACACCATCATCATCAACAACAGCAAGAGCAACAGCATCATGAAGGATTGAGCAGCAGCCCCGAGAGGGAAGCATATCTCGAACGAAGAAGCAGCAATGATTCCGCATCGCGACGAATGAGCAATTCCCGACCCTGCCACTCAGGATCCGGATTCTTAGGCACAATGCGATGATTGCGAAATCGGTTTCAATTAGAATGTTGCTATGAAGAGGATTGTTTCTTTTGTGGTTTCTCCGGGGCGAACATACATACACGTACATGTGCCATTGAGAAGCGGGTTTAAGCAGACGATGATGTCAGTGACGACGATGTGGGGGAATAAAGGACAAGGATCTGGGCCAAGTTTGTTCTACGAGAGCGTCCAGGATTTGGCGCTTTTGGGGAGCCATCGGCTTTAGAACACTTGGGTGTGATACGGGATTGAATCGGAATGTTTTGTATGGGCTAGGGTTATTATTATGCATTTCTTTTGGATGGGATTTATTCGCGGCTTGGATTTGGTATCGCAAATGTCTTTGCGTGGATGAGCTGAGGACATGTATAGATGAACATGTAAATGAATCAACCAATCAATAAATGGCAGAAGCAAATGAAAAGAAGAGGCTGCATGCACTCTATGCTGTGCAACCATGCATGTATAAAGTCACTGCTATATATACTACAAGAATCATCATATCGAAACACTCTTCAAACCCTCCCTCCAAGGCGTGTCTTCCACACAGCATATCCAGCATAGGCCACAGCCGCGATAACCGCCATCTTTCCAGCTCCCACGAGCATATTATCCCGTGCCCGCCTCAATGCCCTCGCCCTGCTCTTCAACGTGTTCTTCTGGAACGTCTCGCGATCATTGGCATGGGGGAACGGCGCCTCCACTTCCTCTCCCGTCTGTTCATCCTTGACCATCGGCACAGGAACCTCGAGATACTCGCACAGCGGCCCCCAGCCGTCCTGCACCTTATACTCAAAGCGGCGCGCCTCGGGAATCTCATCGCGATAGCGCTTGTACATGCCCGTGTACCAGGCAATGGCCTTGTCCTTTTCCGTCCGGTGATGGTACCGAAAGGCGAGCCCAGACATGGCCATGCCGAAGCGGGCAAACGCGCGCGATGCCGGGTCAAAGACGAAGCAGAAGAGCATCTGCAGCTTGGTCCACGGAGACGCTGGTTGCGCCGCCAAGATGACGGACTCCAAGGTGCTGTAGTACCACGACTCCGGATCGCGGTTCAGGATGATGACTTTGGCTTCTGGATACAGGGCCGCGAGCTCGACGCCAAAGAGCGCTGCGGGAACATCAACGCAGGCTTGCGAGTTGCCCAGTACCTTGTCAAAGTCGGCTCTGGTGACGGTGCCTTTTCCGCCGTACCGGGCCTCGATGAGATGGACCCATTGCGGGCATTCCTGTTCAGGGTTCTCAAGGAGGTTGTGCATGTGATAGCAGTCATTGAAGCCCAGCTGTTTGAGAGCCAATCTCACGCCTTGTGCAAGAGAGTTAGAGGTGTGAAAGAATTCGGAGGGGATAGACTTACTCAATGTTCCTGTCCGTTGCACGCCGCAGACGACGACGCGCATCGGAACGACACGATCTGGTGTTGACATCGTAAGATGATTTACAGCGAATTGTAATTTCGCAAGTGATTTACTTTGTAAGAAAAATGAATCAGAGGATGTACGAGCGGAAGAGTGTGATTAAGAGCTGTGATGAACAAGGGCTTGGTGATAAACGGCGTTTAGGAAAAAGCCCATCACATTGTCTTACCTGGATCCCACCTCACAAATCCCTGCTGCGACTAGCATCTCGATGCCATCTCCGGAGCTATACTACAGTGCTGTATGTCACCCGATCCACTCTTGGAAGCTGCTAAATACGCGGTATCCAAGTAGCAAAAGGTAGGCTAAAGCATCGCCCTACGGGGTAGAATTCTTCAAGATACAATAACTTACAAATGAAGGTTATGGTGTTGCCGTTGCTGACAAGGCTGTTGTATTGCCAATGTTTGTGTCCCGTGGCGTCAGTTTTCTGTACCACTTCACAAAAACACGGAGAAAAGGGACGTTAATGTTTCGCGGCCAGCATGTGACTGTAATACTACTAACTCTCTCAGATTTTCTTTTTCTTTCTTGGTCCATGGAAGATCGGACTGTCGCCGGCCGAGGACCGATAGCCCGGACCGGCAAGGTTTATGGTATGTCGCCGGGCAGACGCATACATTTTCTCATAGAAGATAATAAAAGAGTTACATGGTTTTGTTAAAATTGATACAAGTTGCTTATAAATGGCTGGTCCGGAATTACAATTACTGATCGGTTACATGTCATACATCTGGCCATGGCGCATTTGGATGAGTGTCTCTATGTGATACTTGCGCTCTCCCAGCAATATGTGATTGTTAAATGATGGACTTCTTTTATTCAGTCAAGTCTTCATAATCCGATGACTCGGAATTTGAGCTTCGCTTCTGCCTAGACACGCCATATAGAATAGTCTTGGGTATCAGCTACTTTCGATGTATACCCACGCATAGAGCGGTGATAGGCAGATAGATACTAAAGTATATAGGGGATATACGTTTCGAGCATCGCCTGTAGCATCAAAAGAAGTCAACAAACTGTCTGCAAGCATTGATGTCTATGTCGCATCATTTTCCCCATAGTTCCAGCCTTTTTATTTTGTATCTTGACTGTTGCGTTGTCCTTATGCAATTCGCTTATACGCATAACATCCCATGACAAGCCTCATCACACTAGAGGCAGTCGTGAATAGATTACAAGATATGATTTGGGCTGGTGTCCTTATTTTTTTTCATAGTAAATTTTTGACCTTCCCAACTCCCATCCCGGGTATCACTCCATCCATCCAATTGCTCACGCCTTTCGTCGCTTTCCGCCCTCCGCCGCTTCAGCCCCCGTAGCTGAGCCACTGTTCGCAGCAAGAATCGCATCCAAGAGCTCGGGGTTCGCATTCAGCATGTCTTGAGACTCCGACTTTATGCGCTTGGGGTCAGCCTTGCCAACTACAGGAACCGCAGTGGCGAGAATCTGCTGGAAGGGAGCAGCGACAAAGTAGCCGCTCTCGTCGAAGAAGGAGGCAAACGGCTTGGCCACCTCGATGATCCGTGACTTGGAAGACTTGTCTGTGACGGTGATGCTGAGTCTGTATGTAGGGTCCAGCTTCTTCGTTGCGCTGGCTACTGTGATCTGCACGTTTCTCTCGTTAGCTCTTGCTCTTGCGCTCCCCATCGCCGCTGGATTGGCCATTGCCGTTGCGTACCTTTTCTCCTGATGGCGCGATTCCCTGATATATAACGCCCTTCTCCACAAACATCATCCAGAATGTTAAGACACCATTTAGAACGGTATAGACGGCCACTGCGATGGCTGTGTAGAACTTGGTATCTTCAAAGCCCAGCTTGTAGTCCCATGCGAAACAAGCGGCAGCAATGAGGAATGCGCTGTACCCGAGCCCTAGCCGTACATCGCTGAGGAAGTGTGTCTGCTTGAATTTTAGAGAGTTGAGGTAGTTGGGGATCGCATCGTCGGTCGTGTTCTTTAAATCTATAGCCACGGTGTCAGAGCAAGGCGTGATGAAACCAGTGGCAACACGCCGCAGCAGGAATAGCTCAACTTACCTGCGAGATTATATAGAGAAATCTTCTCCGCGGCCATGGTTGCGTTATATTCCTGGAGATTGAACCGCCAGAGGTGATCAAAACAACGGAACGCTGCTGTTGTTGGTTCAAGTTATGGCAGAGGTGGCCTGTAGTTTGACTTCAATGCTTCGCTGTAAGCTGCCAGTAAACGAGTTGCTACAGTACACATATGCACTAAGATCGTGGGGTTCTGCCGAGTTCAATTGGCCAGCAGAGAGCTTGTTGCGCCGAAATGTGGGGCTGCCGGCTGCCGGCGGTAGGATACTCCGTAGTAGAGCTGTTGCTATGCATCTTCCACCTCAGCATCTTCATGAGCTCATGGATCGCATAATCTCCCCCTCCATCGCAGCATCGTTGCCCACCACCGAGGCCGCACGACACTGAATACAGCATCGCATTAGCTCCAAGTGCGGCTGAAAAGCTCAACGATCCCATCATGGCGCAATTACCGGCTCAGACCCTGCATAGGGATCCCCAGCTCTTGTTCGTGTCCTCAATTACAGCTCCGGCAGGCAGAAGACGAGACAGCTAACATGGCGCTTCCACGCATAGCTACTGGATCCTGATTCCCATCACCGTTGTCATGGTCCTGACTGGTGTTCTCCGCCACTACGCATCCGTGCTCATGACTACGACCCCAAAGAAGGCCGACATCAAAGCTATCCGTGAGCAACGTGCTCTCGCTCATGGTGCCTCTCTAAGGACAAACTACCATGTGCTGTCGCGCAAGGCATTTGAGACTCGACGTGATTTTCTGATTGAAGGATTCGAGTCTGGCGCCTACCTCAAGGCACCGAACCAAAAGGGCCAGCCTCCGGCCAACCCCATGTCGGACCCCAACGCCATGGAGGGCATGATGGGCATGATGAAAAACAACATGGCCATGATGATCCCCAACACCTTGATTATGAGCTGGATCAATGCATTCTTCAGCGGATACGCCATCAGTATGTCACCATCGTATTACTTGCTTGCCATTTGCCAGTGCTGACCGCAACGAGTGAAATTGCCATTCCCCATCACTATCAAGTTCAAGAGCATGCTCCAGGCCGGTGTCCTGACCAAAGACATGGACCCGCGGTGGATGTCTAGCATCAGCTGGTACTTTTTGTGTATCTTCGGTCTCCAATTTGTCTATGTGTTCCTCCTTGGAAGTGACAACGGTAAGCATACTAATACCATACATCCTCTATCAAGCATAATAGAATATCTCCTAACACGTCACCAGCTGCGAGCCAAATTGCTCAGCAAATGCAGCAACAACAGATGCCCGTTGGCCCCATGGCCCCTGGTCAGGATCCCCACAAGATGTTCAAGGCCGAGGCCGAAAACTTGGCCGTCATTGAGCATTATTCCGTCCTGGACGGCATCGAGGAGCGACTGCTGGAGAGAATCAAGGTGTAAAATATTGTAGACCCGACAGTATGGAAATATAATCATTAATACATTGTGCTCTTCAAACGCCTCTAAACAATCCAATCAGGCACCATCCCACCATAGACACACACCAAGACCTTCAGCAGCCATGCTGCCTTTGATCTTATAAGGCGTCTTTGCCGGTGTGTCTTCTGCTTGAGTGGGACCGGCTGGAGTCTGATCGTGCCATTCTTCGTCAATGACCTGGAAACGGACCATTTCGTGGTTGTCGTAAAACAGGCGCTCTTCATCAAAATTCCATATCCAAATCTGTTCGCTGTGATTGCTATTCCCACTGTTAGCTCTTTTCGCCTTTGGTGATTGAATCCGTTGTGGTGGACTCACTATTCAGCCCCCTGCGGAAGCTCTTCGTACGGGATAAAGATGTCGTCGAAGAAGTCTGTTCTCAGATGAATTCCGGAAGGTGTTGAACTACGTATCCTGCCGAGCATAACCTCTCCCTTGAAAGGTCTGAATACTATCATACGAAACTCGACTGTCGCCATGTAAGCATGCTGAATCGCCGTAGAAAAGAGTAAGAGTGCCTACCATTGACATTTACGAGGCCTGTGCCGTGGCCTATCAAGCCTTCTGACGTCCACAAAACATCATACAGGGAGATGCACAGTCCAATTTTTTGAACTACCTACACCGAAGTGGTTAGTCATTGCTGATGTTCAGGGCCAGATAAAAGAGTGCTGTAAGCCAACCTTGTTTGCATATTTGGCATTAATATTGTCCTCGATTGCTACAATACTGTGCTTCGAGAAGTCCTCTGGGGAGATCTGCACCAGATCGGAGAATTTGGTCTGTGACTCGGCCGATTAGAAGCAGCGTCCATGAGATCGAATGAAGTGAATTGAGAGCACCAGCGACGTACCAGGATAAACATGATGGCAAGATTTCAACTGATCAGGCGCCTCTTCAGCTGTGGTTCATGAGCGTCGATGAGAATTAGAATAAGAAATCATCACGGATGAGACGCCGTCATATCATAGCATGCATCTCTGTGATCACCAAGAATAAAGTAGCAGCTCACCAGCAGCTGAAGCAGTTGTACATCATCTCGAATGCGTCTGGCAGTAAAAAGTTAGAAAATCGGCGAAACAATTGCTAAACCGGAGTGCACTAGGCCTGTTCCGGCTAGCTCCTGTCGACTTGACACCACTCGCCGTCTCACCGCTTGCTTATAATAGCCTAGTGGACCCTGCCCAACAGCACTTCATTTTCCCAGAAAGTCAGACATCGTGGAACTTTCCGTCTAAACCACTATCTCAGAAGCACCTGCGCGGCATCTGAGGCCCCAACGCTGGCCGTCCCGATTATCTGGCAGTGGCATTGCGTCGAGGACAGCGATCCCGCGTCATCCATCTCTTGTTTTGATTTATTTCCTCGTTGTTGCTGTCGAATTCCTCCTCCCGCACCCAACGCTCTCTGTCGAAGCCGAGAAGTCTCGAAGTCCGACGCTCACCGTCTCCTGCCTTGACCCTTTTGCTACAACATCATATAGCAACACCGATACTGCGCCGAATTGGTTGATCACCTCTCCAAACAGAAACCAAATCTCAAAAAAAACTCCTGCCGGCAGTGTACATGACTCTGTGAACAATGTCGACATACAACTACGCACCTCCTCCTCCTCCGCCCCCTACTTCTGGCGGTGCCAGCTACGGACAGTCGAATTCGACCCCCTACAGCCAGAATCGCGGCGGCGGATCAGGCAGCCGTCGGGGTGGCCACTACCACGGGGGACGTGGCGACTATCATAGCTCGCAGCCGCGATATGAATACACTGGGCAGCCATACCCTGCCCAACACGCAGTGCCGTATGGGAGCGCCCATCCTCCAGCGAATGGCTATCCAGCTCCTCAGCCGCAGTGGGCTCCAGAGCATGGCCATGCTCCTACACACCATGCCCACCCTCATGCTCCTGTTCCGCTCTCTGCGTCGAATTACCATCCAAACTACGCTCCTCAGCCATATCCCCCGTCTCAGTACCCCCAGCAGACTGCTTATCCCGCCCCTCAACCTTACCCCTATCAAGCCCCCCCTCCTCCCCCGAATCAACCCCAGTGGAACAGTCAAGGAGCTCCCCAGGCATTCGGGGGTGGTAGCAGAGGCCGCGGAGGCTACGGCGATCGTGGAGGCCACAAACCGTCTCATGGAGTACCGCCTGTCCGTCACGGCCATGAGTATGATGCGGCACCTCCTCCGATGATTAGCGGTTTCCCTCAGCAGTACCCCCCTGACCCTCGAGTTGCTCATTATCCTCCGCCGCAATATGCTTATGCAGCACCTCCACCACCTCCCGCCACCTCTCGCCACCAAGATTCCTCACATAACCAGTACTCTCGTCGAGGGCGAGGTGGGCATAGAGATGGTAGCAACAAGGGGCGAGGCGGTCATCATTCCCATCACCATCATGGAGCCGGTGAAAAGTCACGCCCCCCAAAGCCACCGAGTAGCAGCGTTGACAGTGTTGTAAAGCCCGACAAGCCCGAATCTCCCTCGGCTGGCAAAAAGAAGAAGAGAAAGACCAACACCCTAGGCTTGACCCCTGGAGTTGATTCTGAAACGGAAGATGACGAGGGAGAAGAAAAGACACTCACTGAGCTCATTGGCCAGGAAGCCCTCAAGTAAGTAACACTCTGACAGATTTTGTTTTATCCCGTACCGTTATTAACCGAACTTCTCTGGTTCAGCATTAGCGATGTTGCGGCGTTCATTGCAGAGCGAAAGAAGAAGTTTCCCACCAGAGCGCGCGTCGAAGCCAAAAAGGCCGCCGAGTTGGCGCAAAGAGAAGAGGACAAGGCTGCCTCTCTGGAGAAGGAGGCTGATAGACTGAGAAAGCAACTGCGCAAAGTCGAGTTTTCCATCAAAAGGAAGCGAGAGCAGGGTGACGAGGGTGACGAGATGCGAGATCCCTCTGAAGACTCCTCGGATGATGAGCCAGAAGTCATGTCTAGCCGTAACAAAACGGCGCCTACTCCTCCTCCCTCGGCCAACAAGGCTGATATTACCAGACACTGCAAATATTACTCTACCGGTGGAACTTGCGGGAAGAAGGGCAAGTGCCGCTTCGTTCATGATCCCCAAGCCAGGGAAGCGGCCATCAAAGAACGCGAGGCCAACAACGGTCGTTTAACCATCCAGCAGCGGTTGATTCTAAACGACAAGGAGCAAGAAGACTTGGCTATCCTCCAGTCCATCCAGTATCTTCGCGAAAAGGGCCTCATGAACACTGCTGGCGCATCAGCGGCGAGCCAGGCCAGCGGCGAAGAAAAGCGCACGCTCGCATCCACTTCTACACCTGCTTCTGCATCCACACCTGCTTCAACGTCTGCGCCTGCTTCTGTTTCTGCTTCTACACTGCCACCCTCTACGTCTTCCCTTCCTGCTATCCCTCCGCAGCCTGCCAAGAGGGAGCCGCCTCGCAGAAGCAACCCGCCTCCCTCCATCATACCCACCGCCAATAGTATCAGCGGTCAGGGGGTCCGGCACTATCAAGGTTGGCTCCTCAAGCCGTATGGCAGCTCAAGTGGCAAGCAATCACAGAGCGACGATCTTCCTTGATCCCACCGTTTGGGTCTGCATACACACGCATATATATACATTTCCTCTCTTTTCTCCAAACGTTGAAACCCGTCAATGTTTACTTGAACATTTGGCACCTCGCAACTACCAACTTCGTGGTCGCACTCTTCTATTCTATCTTGTTGTTTCGGAATATACATGCTCGAGAAAAAAAAACCATTGGACGGCGTTAACTTTACTATTTCTTCTTCTTTTTGCAAGTGTAACAAAGGGGGCGTCAATGGCTGTTAGAATGGCGGGCGTTGCTCTAGGCTTGATGCTCTAGGAGACAATGCTTCCCTTCAGCTTGGATATCGATGCACACCATCACCATCACCTGTTCATGCTTTCCGTGGGCTGGTGCATTCTTGAAAGCTCGCTCACATAATGCCCGACTAAACGGGTATCTTGTGGCTGTAGCGAGGACCAAGAAGCCATCTGCCTTCACGAATAATGATGTTTCTTACAATTGACTGTTTATAGGATCCAGATTGACCTGGTCGAAAAAAAAGCACGTAACCGTACATGGGTTGATACTATTACTGCATACCTAGGTGGAACAAGAAAAAAAAAAGACGGCTTTATTAGAATTGTGATTATATACTTTCTCTTTTTTTATTGTTTCTCGGATGTAGTTGGCGAATGGGAATTCTGTTACATAGGCTTCATACTAGGTTACGGTAGTCAATAAGACTTGTTTTGCTCTGCTTGGATTGGTATATATCAAAGCATCATTTGACAATTATAAACTGCGTTGACTTTCCCTGTCAAAAAAAAAAAAAGAGAACTAGCTATCCTCCTCACACATTGTCCGAACCAGGACACTTGGGGAGTCAGTTTCCTATATCTACGCCATACAATGCAAATTCCAACCCGTTAAACACCGCTGACTTAAAAAACCAAAGCGAAAGAACAAAAAAACGAGGCAAAGGGAAAAAGCAAATATGAACAAAAGCAAAAGCAGAAAAAAAAAAAAGGACTGGGAAAGCCAGAAGTCTGGGGGGGAGTAGCGCAGACTTTTGAAAAATAAAACTCCGTCGCTAATGACCTGAAACGGTAGACACACGGGTAACCACTTCTGCTGCAACGCTCACTTTCTTTCCTCATGCTTTCTTTCTTTCTTTCTTTCTTTCTTCCTCCATGCTGCCAACTTAACCCCCCACTAATCCACTTCCCGAGTCCGCAATGAAGCGATCCGTTTTCAAGAATTACCTGAATTACCCCAATGTCCAGAAGAGTGAAGAGTCGTGAGAAGCAAAAAGAAACGATTTGAGCGTCCAAGGGCATGGCACAGCTAAAGGGGTGGAACTTTCACGTTCCCTTCCTTTAGCGTCGGTTGGCCCGCAAGGATTCAAGGGCTTTACGTTTCCTCTCCTCCTTTGCCATCTTTAGCGATTTCTCAAGTCGTTCTTCCTGCAAATCCTCGCGGCGAGCAATCTGCTCTGCCATTCGTTCTTCGTCATCAATGTCGTCCATGCCAGCTTCCATGTCGGATGAAGCATCAGACGCATAACCATAGCGTTGACCATCGTCTTCCTCGTCATCATAATCGATGAAGTCGTCCATGTCCTCGTCGTAGTCATCTTCGTATTTTCGCCTGGATGTGCCGGATCTGGGAGGAGGGGCATTAAGCAGGGCACCCCCACGTGGAGCGCTGCCTTTCTTCGACACAGCGCCCGGCTTGGGTCGGGCTGTTCCGGTATAACCGGTGGTTGCCACTGCAGCTTTTTTCACCTTCTTTTCCGGCTCGGGTTCGGGTGCTTTTCTTGAAGATGTCATGCCCTTGGCTGTGGGTCGGGACGCCGCACCGTTCCGGTCAGCTTTTGATGAAGCATTCCCGTTGGTACCATTGCGTTGTACCGGCTTTGACGATCCTTTGTAGCCAGCAGGCTGCCTCTTGCCCTGGGCGCCCGACGGTGCACCCTTCACATCGCCCCTCTCTTTCTCCCTCTTGATGGCTCCTTTCTCAGCCTTCTTATGCTGAATTTTGCCGACTTGGCCCATCACGGCCTGTGCCCGTTGGGCTCGGGCGAGGATTTCGGCATAGGAGCCCTTCTTCGGGGGAGCTTTGGGCTTGCCCGAATCGACTGGGGGCGGGGGTGGTTTGCTAGCAACAACTGGCTTCGCTGGTCGACTAGCGATATTCACCGTCTTCGAAGGAATCGGAGTCGGTCTCGGTAAAGTGGCGGTCAGGGGCCGCTGGGGCACCTTTGCCGGCTCTGCGAAGAGACGCGGTGTCTTGGAGTCATTCCTGGGAAGATCATCATCTGCTTTGCGTTTGATAGAGACGCTAGGAATCCGCTGAATAGCGGGCGCAGGGCTGTCCGAGGACTTTCCACCGCTGATTTGGGCCAGAAGATCCCCGATCTGGTAATCCGCATTAGCTACCACGGCTGCTGATGCCCAAGCTTGGCTGGGAAAAGAATGGGGGGAAACGGCGACTTACCGGCATCGTGTCTGTCGTGAGACCTGTATCTACGTCGAAATCGTGAAATGTTCCAGAGAAATCTTCCACGTAGCCCTCTTGAGATGATTACACGCCGTGCTTCATGGATGAAGTTGCTCCTCCGCTCATCCAGCGAAAGAGGAAGCGAATCGGCGCCGAAGCACGCTCCCCTCACGCAAAGAAACAAAAGGCCCTTGAAAGGGTGCTTATCGAACGGTCGTGCGCGCGCTTCGAGATAATCGGAGAGAGATTCCGGGAGAAAGATGTTGTGAGAGATGGATAAGATATGCAAAGCTCCTATCAGCAGAGACAAGAGAGATAGAGATGATGTTTTTTCTTTCAGCAAGTTGGCATGGCACGTCCAGAGAAAAAGCGTAAGGTGAGAGGCTGGCCAACGCACCTTTTGCCGGTAGAGCTACGGATGGAAAATAATTGGCGCCACACTGCCGGGGACGAGGTCGAGATGCACGTGACGCATCTGTGGCGGTGCGATAAGGATTATGATAAGGATCATGATAAGGAATTGGGCTGAACTCCACGCCCTAAAGCGGATCGCCCTTCGCCTAGCTGTGAATTTTAGCGCCCACAGATGTAAAATGCCCTGCAACTTCTAGAGCGGGAACTTTTTTTCTACTTTTGTTCCGACAACTAGCCATCAAACCACCAGAACTCGAAGGTCTCAGTCTCCGCCCAACTTGCGGTTAAAGTGATTGATTTCTCGTGTTCCTCTTGAACCTCATAAACGTGAGTGCTTCTCTCTCTCCCTCTGTGCAAGCTGCAGCAATTCGATCAGCTTCAAATCAGACATTGCCGTCTCTTTCATCGACCTGCTACATCCCGCCGTGTAAAAACATTCAGATCAAGATTCCTAACAAAATCTTTCTTTTGCAGCAACTTTCAAAATGAAGCACCTCGCAGCTTACCTCCTGCTCAACCTCGGCGGCAACGCCTCCCCCTCTGCTGAGGACATCAAGTCCGTCCTCAGCTCCGTCGGCATTGAGGCCGAGGATGAGCGTCTCGAGAAGCTCATCTCTGAGCTCTCTGGCAAGGACGTCAACGAGGTATGGGCATCTTCAGAGTGAAAACTTTTCTTTCTTCCAGACAGTGCAACTAACATTCTTTCTCTTTTCTAGCTGATCGCCGCTGGCTCTGAGAAGCTCGCTTCCGTTCCCTCTGGCGGTGCTGGTGCTGCTGCTGCTGGTGGCGCCGCCGCCGGTGGTGCTGCCGCCGCTGAGGAGAAGGCCGAGGAGAAGGAGGAGGAGAAGGAGGAGTCCGACGAGGATATGGGCTTCGGTCTCTTCGACTAAGCGATCTATTTCTAAAGATCTGCAAAGTTACGACCCTCTACGAATTTCGGAAAAGTTACGAGCATGTTGTGCGGTTAATCTTGCATGGCTCTGGTGTCGTGGGAGGATTGACTGCTCATGGCTGGCATGGCGGCCTTAATCAGCTGACATAGAAAGTCCAATCGTGAAATTGACGACTTGCCGTTTTTCGAATAATTGTTTGTCCCATCTTGAATTGTGTGATGTTGGTGTCGATGTGACTAGACCGCAGCCGAGAAGACGGGGGCAATGACATTTCCTGCAATCTCCATGTGAACCTTGCCATTACCTTGAAGCCAGAGAATCTGGATCTCAGTACCTGGAAAGTAGCTGGTTCATAATCTCGTAATGTATCTTGGTATTTTGATTCCAATCAACGAACTACATACCAGGCACCTCAGGCCGACTACCCTGCACCCAGGGGGTGGACAACGACAATAGAGCATTCAGCGACGCAATGATGGCAGGGGATAAGACGCAAGTACTCTTTTCATACAGCGGTTCAACAGAAGCAAATAATTGCAATATGCGAAGCAATGAGTGAGCATATTGGCTAAATGTGGTTCAAATAAAGCATACTAGGCTGTAGTTCCATCTAACAATCCATCTTGCCCAAACAGTAAGCTCACTCCCAAACACATGACAAAAGCATGTCCGATTTACCAACAGTAAACGCAAATTAACATTATCCATGATTTTTAAATCTTTCAAGCTGCATTCATGAGTCTCGTTTCTCCGGTCGATATGCAGACTCAGGTGCAACCCACGAAAACACGGGCGCTCTCCCATTTGTTTCTATTATCTCCTCATATGGTGGTGGTAAAGCCGAAGCGCCCTCGTCAATAGACGTAGATAATTCGGCAGGCTGTCGAGATGTAGATGGAGGGCTACTTCACATATATATTAGCTACAGCTATAGGGAAAAAGAAAAAAATCCTTTCAATAGTGGGAATAAAACTTACTGATGCGATACCGTACTGCTCTCATCCAACTCCCTCGCTCCAGGCACCCTCGGAGGAGGATGAGAATGATATGGCGTAGTCTCCGGTGCGGAAAGCTCTCCTATAACCTCGTTTGTGGCATCAAGTTCAACCGGTGTTGTCTCTCTCTGGACATCGTCCCTCAGGTTTTCCAGTGTCGTCTCTCCCTGGACATCGACCCTCAGGTTTTCCAGCGACTGAGCCTGTTTCTTCCCATTGCAGCAATCGCAGCAACTAGAGCAAATAGACAAAATGGAGCGATCTTTCACACATTCATGGTACATGAAGTAAAACACAAGCCCGATGACGAGAGGGACACCTATAACGCAGATACCTACGACTGCGCCCGTTGACAGGGGTTTGGAAGATGGTGGTGAGGAGGTATCTGATTGTTTAAGAGCCGGAGCTGCTGAAGACGTGGAAGTCGCCATGACTGTCAGAGATGAAGACGAATCGGTAGTTGTTTCTCGCGGTATAGTATGTGTTATGAACGTTGTAAGCCGTGGAACAGACGAAAATTCCTCCTTTGCCGGCTGAGGCTTGGGTATGAATCCCGGTAGAGGGGCATAGGCAGCAGGATGAGGAAGATGCAGAGCATGATGAGACGACGGCGTGGGAGAAAAAGATGGTATATCCAAAAATGATGTCGGTCTCTCGACAGAATCTGCGAATCATGGTTATTACACCGACTCAAATCTCTCCGTTATGAGCACATACCAGTAGGTGTCACCGTTCCATCGTATACCGTTATAATTGTCGTCAAGTAAATAGGGTCAGGAGTCTCCGATACTACCACCGTCGCACTGCCCAAGGTCCTTCCGCTGAACACTGCCGCAACAAACAGCAGCTTTCGAAGATACCACATCATAGCTCAGAGATGACTTTTTCTTCTCATCAAAATCACAGCATGATGCTGTTCATAAACGTATCGCAAAGTATAACTGGTATAAAGGATAAAAGCATAAGATGGGAACACAGAAGTCTTGTAGCTTTGTCTCTAATATCAGATCTGAAAGACAAACAGCCATTGCACTGCCGGATCTAGCCACATTTGACAACATATCAAAGGAAACGGCACTTGGTGACACGGAATGCAAAGGCCAGTCAGTATACGGCCTTGCGTAAACCTGGCAAGAGGGCTGTGAAGTGAGAGAGAGAGAGCCGCATTTGGACGTGAGAGGGGTGCTGTTAGTTTACAGGGGACTCTGTAAATGGAATGGCACGAATACTTTGCCGTCGAATTTGATGATTAACGAATCGTCTATGGAGGATCTATTCTGGGTATTGAGGCTTTCATCGACCAATCCTTTGATCTTCGGTCCCTCTCTTCTAATGGAATCTGTTGCTTCCACCAATACCTAACCGCTGCTGCCTGTGTGTTGCCGGAGTTGAACGAAGCATAAAGTCCAACATGCATATTCTATCTCTAGTGGCGAACATCTTTGATGCACAACGCATCTCTCCCTAGGCAGCTGCTCTAGACCAACGTCATCTGAAGTCGACGGGATGTGTAGAGCTTATGAGGGGGTCGGCTTGTTTCATCTCCAACTATCACGGCACACGCCTATAACCATCTTCTACTGCGTCTTCGCTTTAGTCTTGGGAGTGCTTGCCAAGAATTCCGTCTCCCGCAAAAGCCTCCAGAGGCACCACAGATAGCAGATAGAGAAGCCAGCCGCACCTACACCGACGTTGGCGACAACCCACAAATCAGGTTTGCCTGGTGGCGGCACGACAAAGGCCTCGACAACGTGCCACGCCGCCATGGTTACATAGAAAGTGCTTTGTAGCAGAGCGGTGCCCCATTGGACGAGCTTGGACTGTCCTTCTTGGAAAGGCGCGTTCCAGGAGGCTGGGGGCAGGCCCAGGAGATACGCCCAAAGCAGAGTGAGGGCTGCATACGGCACTCTGAGATCGACCCGATGCAACAAAGGAAACATTGTCCAAGCGCCCAAGAGATTGGCAAAGCCCACCCAGGCACGGACCTCGCCGCTCATACCTTGTTTCCCGGCCAGGAGCAGCGTCATGGGCATCAGTGGAAGAAGAACGCTCTTCTCGTGGACCTGCCAGCTGAAGAGGAAAAAGCCCCAGGCAGTGGCGGCAAAGGCAACCGGAAGAGCTGATTTGCGTGGGCGTAAGAATAGGATGAGATTAGGAGGGATGATGGACAAAAGAGTTGCGCCCAGAGCAGCCTTCTGGAGAAGCTCGACGGGGTAGTTACGCAGCTTGATGACAGTGTTGAGGGCACACCAGAAGTTGGCGACCTTGTCCTCAAAGAGACCACGAGAAAAGGGGAAAACTCGGTGGACCATTTGGACAAGCTGCTCAACAATGGGATAGTAAAAGTTCTGAGGGTCGATGTAATTGGTGATGAAGGAGAAAATGGGGAGTGGTGCCGTAGCTCCATTGAGCTCGGGCCTTGCGTCAATCCCGCGGTGTTTGTCGTAGAGCACACCAAGTGCTAGAGGCAGAACAAGAACGCCGAAAGAGACAGCGGTAACCAACGCAATGCCAAACAGCCTGCTGGGGTTGATGCCTGTGGTAATGCATCTTCCGAGCAGGTAGGAGAAGACGCTAAAGGCATAGTAGAGAGCCATTTGCTTGAATCCCAGGGCGGCTACAAAGAAGACGGCTGCCCACTTGTATCGCTCGGCGAGCATGCTGGACATGCTGGCTACGACAAACCCGAGCATGACGGTGTTGTACTGGAAATGAACATGGTCAATGAGAATCATTGACGGCTGCATAAGAATGGCCACAAGAGCCAGGTTGCTCGTCCAGGTATTCACGCCATTGAGCCTGCTGAACCGTCGCACAAAGACTGTAGCGGCGGGGACGAAAATAAGGTATTCAGACGCAATGACTGTTGCTCTCATGAAAATCTTGAGCATTGGGTCGTGGGAGCCGCGCGATGATATAAGGGCGAACCACTCCGGGTTGATGAGAGAGCCAATCTTGCCCAGCACCCAGCTATGATATGCCGTGAGAGGCGGATAGTCCAGCCCCCACCACTCCAGATCGTGAAAGTACCACTGAGAAATTGGGAGGTTCGCGGTGATTTCCATCCAGTGACGCTGAGCTTCGTAGTCGCCAAACAAGGGCGGTCGTTGGAATCCTGTAATCGCGACATAGCATCGTCTGTCGTCAGTCCCAGATCACCAAAACACCAAAACACCAAAAGCAACAAGTCCAATGGCTCTCACCAGAGTACCCCCAAAGCCCAGCCGCCCATCGAAACAGCCCAACAACCATCAGGACCAGCGGCAGCACCTCCCACTGCGACAGCGACGTGCGCGCCGGCCACATGAAGGCGGCCAAGGGAAAGGCTGGAGTGCGCACGAGGGCTTCGAACTTGCGCGGCTTGTCGGCCTCATTTTCGGGCTTGTTGGCTTTGCGCCGGGGCTTGTGCGGCGAAGGACTTGGGGCGGGCATTTTTCTGGTCACCGCATGAGGAGAAGGATTTTGGCAGGTGATGCGAGTTGCAAAAGATGAAGTTGAAGGTCGAGTGAAGTGACACTTGGAGCTTTTGGCAGCATCTCCAGATTGGGGAATTTCAGTGGAGCTCCAATATCATATCATATCAACCACAGTGTGAACTTTTGTCGCTAAATGCACTGTATGGTGATGCTTGGTGTAAATGCCAAGGCGCTGGGGCAATCAATGTCTCTTTTTTGCAACCTTCTCCAATTCTAGGCCTCCCATGAAACATTGAACACGAATACCAGTGCCCGCAACAGTCTCGTCTCTAATAATGCCATTTCCATTCGTCCTACCGACCACCTCGGCCTTTTCCTTCTCCTCCTCCGTTAGCTGTGACTCTCACCCATCGCTGCCCCTCAGCGCGAGCACTTATCGCGGGGTTGTCAGAGACGCGCTCAAGAAGCACAAGAGACTTCCTCCCTCGTCTCAAACTGCAAATCTAAGCACCGTCATCTCTAGTTTAGAGAGCTATCTCCCATATCTCATCGCCATTGACGCCGGCTTAAGTAATCAGCCTGTTAGCAATGAGACGGTCAACACAGTGCTGGAGTCGACCCCTTCCATCTCATGGAGACCAACGCTTTCTGGCGACCTTGTGCCTGGGCGTGAACGTCCCCGGGTAAACATTAACTCATTAGAATATGAGATTTATTTTACGCTGTCCACTTTGGGCTTCTCTCATGTCCTCATGGCAAGGGCCGCGCTGCAGCCTCTCTATTCCACAACTCAGGATTTCCAGGGGACACAAGAGCGGACAACCATCATGACAACAGCCACGAAATACCTGCTAGAGGCCGCTTCCATATACGACTATGCCGCCACAAGAAGTGAGCAGGTAATTGGCAGCCCGCCTTGCGTCGATGTTTCACCTGCCATGCTCCGCGCTCTCGCTTCTCTCTGCCACGCCGAGGCAACACTGTTAGCTGTGTTAAAGGACGACCCTTACCCAGCAGCTGTGGCCCAGGACAGGAATAAAAACGATAAAGAGTGGATGTTCAAAGCCCCCGACATCCCCAAAGTTCGAGCCCATCTCTATGCTCGTCTGTGTCTCGCCGCATCTGAGCATGCTACCAAAGCCTCGGCATTATGCCAATCAGCCAGGGCAGGACCAAGTGGCGTTAGCTCTGGATTCTTGCGATACTTGGAAGATTCACGGCGGACTAGCCGAGCAAAGGCCTGTCGATTCTTCGGAATCGATGCCGAGCTGGGTGGTGAGACGGCGGAAGGAATTGCCTGGGCACGTGCTGGTTTACACGAGCTCGGCATCGAGGTCAAAGACACAAAGAAGGGGCTGAGCTTGAGTCGTACGATGAAGGGTTTTCATGAGAAGAGAGAAGATCGTCGAGTTGACAAAGAAACTACTTGGGGAGCCGATGCTGGCAAACTGGAAGAGACAAGGATCCTCGAGTTGCTAGACGCAAAATGGAGCAAGATTAATGATACGGTAAGCATCGTGATGCCTTGGTATTTCCGCACAGCTAACTGGTGATGTAGATGAACACACGGCCAATTCCGCCCATAAACGCTTTAATAAGCAAGATGCCCTCGGGCCGTGAGATTCACACTATCAAACCATATCAGGTTCCTACCTTAGATCGAGATGTGCTGGAGGCCATGCGAGCGCCCCCCGAACAGGGCGAAAATGTTGGAGGAGAGTTTAGTTCCGATGATGAGACCCTGGTGGAAGGTTCCACGACAAGGAGCTCGTATTATTAAAAGGAGATATTGGGCGCATGTATGTATGGGCATTAGCATATGGGCTTCATGGAGCATTGTATATCACAAAAATAGGCCCCGGTAATTGGTAATAGGTGTTCAACTGCGTATATTTGTTCTTTTTCTTTTTACTATAGGTGTCTAAGAGCAGGTGTGTTCAAGCCAGTTCCAACCCGCCATCTCCTCCCATCTTGTGCCAGCGAGGAGTTATGGGAGAACCTGCCTGCTCAACAAGTTTATAACTCCATCAGTCCCACCACCATGAATCTTCGTTTTCGTCGGGAATCCAAGGAAGTGGGTTCTCTGGCGTCGAGCCTATTTCCATTTGCACGTCTGCCAAGTCTGTCACTTCTGCCCCTTCTGCCGCCGACCCTGCTGGGACTGGATCCTCTGATATTGGTGACTCTGAGTCTGGAGTTTCCTCGTCTTCTGGAGTTTCCTCGTCTTCTGGAGTTTCCTCGTCTTCTGGAGTTTCTGAGGCTGGGGTGACTGAACTTGGACTCTCCACGGTTGGAGTGACTGAAGTCGAACCAGGCGTGACTGAGAACGGATTCTCGCTGGTTGGCGTTGCTGGGACTGGGCTCACCACGACTGGAGTGACTGAAGTCGAATTCCCCACAGCGGGAGTCACCAAAATCGGATTCTCACCAGTTGGTGTCGCTGGTACTGGGCTCACCACGACTGGACTCTGTGAAGTTGCATTCACCACGTCACAAGGAAGAGGTGTAGGAGCAGGGTCGACACAAGGATCGTAGCAACTATCACAATCTCTCACGTTAGCACACGAAATCGAACAAAGTAATGACAATGAAGAAGAAAAAAAGGAACAGTACCCTCCATATGGTATGCCGCAATCGCTAATCGCGTCTATACAGATGATTGGACAGAATGTGCCCGTCGGCTTGATTGGCTTGAGTGGCTTGGCCATGGCAAGGCCAGCAAGGGCCACGGCAAACACCATTCGCCTCACAGCCATGGTGAAAGAAATCTCTTGAGAAATAGACAAAACTAATAAGAAATAATGCGCCCAAGAGATGAAGATAGAGACTTAAAGCTCTTGTTATCTCTTCTTCATACAACAAACCTAAAGTCCTGCTTGCCACGAATCCTGCATCCATAGGCGGGATGAAGACAGCTTTTGTGCATCAAGAAAATCCTGTGGCGAAATGGAACGGACCGACTTCGCGAAGGGAGAGGGTGGTTGGGATGGTGGCAAGTGACTGAGAGGTATGCTGGTGTGGTCAGTCCAGACCGACCGAGGAATGTGTGTAGACTCATGGCATTTCACCACCAGCCCCTCACCGAAACTCATAATGCTAAATATAGGAAAATGTTGCGAGAGTACAATGAACTGGTTATGTAAAATAAAAAGATATTTTTACTCTTCTCCCTAGTCGAACATCGATGAATAGTACTAGGTAAGTTTCATCGGTGATTAATACATACACAGCGGCAATAAACTCCTCAAGATATCCGCCCAATTTTAGTTTCCCTCCCATTTCTCTCCCCCGCAATGACATTCCAACTCTGCTCCTTATGCTCCAAGAGACATCTGCTTCTTGATCTCGGCAATGGCCTTGCCGGGGTTCAGGCCCTTGGGGCAGGCGCGTGTGCAGTTGAGGATGGTGTGGCAACGGTACAGGCTCATGGAGTTCTCGAGCTTGGACTTGCGAGCCTCCGTGCGCTCGTCTCGGGAGTCAATCAGCCATCGGTAGGACTGCAGCAGGATGGCGGGGCCGAGGTACTCTTCGGAATTCCACCAGTAAGAGGGGCACGAGGTTGAGCAGCAGGCGCACAGAATGCACTCGTAGAGACCGTCCAGCTTCTTTCGGTCCGCCTTGCTCTGGCGGTACTCCTTGCCCTATTTTCTCCCAGTTAGCAAATCTTGCTCGAGTTGTATGCAATTTCATGTCAGGTCAGGTCAGGTCAGATCGGGATGGTGGCGTACATCTTCAGCAGGGGTGTCGCGCTGCAGGTAGGGCTGAATGGACTTGTATTGCTTGTAAAAGTGCGTCAGGTCAGGAACCAGGTCCTTGACGACGTAGGTGTGCGGCAGGGGGTAGATCTTGACATCGGACGAGGACTCGGCGGGGATTCGGCACAAGCAGGCCAGGGTGTTCTGGCCGTTGATGTTCATGGCACAGCTGCCGCAGATGCCCTCTCGGCAACTCCTTCGGAAGGTCAGGGACGGGTCCTGCTCGTTCTTGATCTTGATCAGGGCGTCCAGGATCATGGGGCCCGTCTTGTTGAGGTCAATGGAGTAGGTCTGAAGCTTGGGCTTCTCGGTCGGGGTATCGGGATTCCATCGGTAGATCTGGAACGACTTGATCTTGGGCTGCTGCTCAGTGGTCTCGCTGACCGACGCCATGGACCGCGAGAAGACGGCACTGGGACGGAAAGCTGCCCTGGTAGAGGAGCTGAGGACTCGCGTCGAGGAGCGGAGAGCGGCCATGGTTGCTGTTGTCTCGTGTTCCGAGTTGAGTTTCGATGCTTTTTCGGGTTCGGGATAGCTTTTTTCGGATCCGGCTCAGCCCCGCGTCTTGAAGCTGGTCTGCAGTGGTTCACAGGGAAGGGATCGGAGTTGAAACTGATGATTGATTCGAGCCAAGGCAATCGTACCCTTTGGTTCCTCCTGGCAGCCGCTCAATTGCTAAAGACTCTCGGTGGCGGCGTTTGGTCTCGTCGTCATGGAAGAAGCTGGGAAGATGGAAGTGGCTCTTCCTCGGCTATGAGACCTCGAGAAGAGGCCACGAGCCGGCCAATCACAGCCGTTTCATTGACAATTCGGCTAAGCAGGAGAAAGTCGGGATTGCCAGGCGGCAGCTCGTGACAGCCGGCTAAAGCCCGGGCCAAGCAGCTGCAGACCCTTGCACGTGCCGGGGACATTAGCTAATCACTACGTGCCTTAGCGCGCAAACAGACCCGAGGCCGTGGGGGAAAGATTTTGGGGATTTTGGTGGGGTTTAATTAGTATGGAATAATAATCCCGATTGAATCCTCTCTGTTGTCTTATCACTTGCCATCCCCAAAGTCGCCTCCGTTTCTCCAATTATTTTTTCCAATTTTTCTCTTCGGCGCCGGCGGATTCTTCTTGCCGCGGCCGCTTGTCCTTGACGAAAGCTGCTTTCTGGCTGTAGAATGGCGAAGAAGCTGCTTGTCTAAAGCATTGCACTGATCGGCGATTGCGCGCCCCGCAAGGACTGCCTCGCCCTTCAATGCTTTTTTTCCCTTTGCGACAATTCATCGCAGCAAAGATATTCTAGACGGCCATGTTTCTCTCTGGCAGATTGCCTGCCTCGCCATCACTGCGAACGCTACTTAATGGTTAGTGGCTCTGAACGACGCGGTGTTGCGTCCCCGGCAGCTCCTTGTCCTGCTAACTCTCCGAATAGCCTCCAGGACTCGCCAGGCGTCGCAGTTGTTAACATACAGACACATGTCGCAGCCTCTTCGCTCGTATTCCGACTTGCCCTCTTCTTCCTCTCCGAAATTCTCCTACCACATTGCCGCGTCTTTCATCGCAAAGGACCGTCCGTACGACCCTTCCACGCACGTGTTCCACTTCAACCCATACAATCGAATCCAACCGCCTCGGCACCGCCGAAAGTCTTCGCGACCTGAATCCGGCCACGATGCATTCTTCGTGAGCAGAGTTAACGAGTCTGGCTCTGTGGCCTTTGGTGTTGCAGATGGAGTGGGCGGCTGGGTAGATTCCGGTGTCGACCCTGCGGATTTCTCCCACGGATTCTGCGACTATATGGCGGCTGCAGCATATGAATACCCCTCGACCAGCGACAAACCTCTCACAGCGAGGAAGCTTATGCAGATGGGATACGACGCGGTTTGCAAGGACGCAAATGTGCCTGCAGGCGGCAGCACGGCTTGTGTCGCCATTGCCAGACCTGGTGGTGTCTTGGACGTGGCCAACCTGGGCGATTCGGGTTTCTTGCAATTGCGCCTGAACGCAGTGCATGCCTATTCCGAACCGCAAACCCATGCCTTCAACACCCCGTTCCAGCTTTCAGTAGTGCCTCCCAGTGTTGCCGCGAGAATGGCTGCTTTTGGGGGAGCACAATTGAGTGATTTGCCCCGAGATGCCGACGTAACCCACCATCAGCTGCGCCATGGAGACGTCCTCGTCTTTGCAACTGATGGCGTGCTGGACAATCTCTTCAACCAGGATATTCTTAGGATCGCCAGCCGGGTCATGGCCAAAACGGGCGCGTGGAACATTGCTGCAAACGAAGCAGTCACCGTGGCCAATTCTCTAGATGATCTCACAGCCTCTCCCCACAAAAGCAACTCCCAGGATGTGATTGTGAAGAAAGCCGTGACACTGCAGAGCTTATTGGCAACAGAAATTGTGACTGCTGCCAAACTAGCGAGTATAAACACAAAGAGGGACGGACCCTTTGCCAAGGAGGTGAAGAAATACTATCCCCAGGAAGGATGGCACGGAGGAAAAGTCGACGACATTTGCGTTGTCACAGCTGTCGTCTCGGAAGATGCGGCTGATATCAAGAGCAAGCTCTAGATTTACGAGGAGGACACGAATCCACGCAATAGATTTTAGACAGCGGCTAAGCATACGGGCACTTTGGTTTAGAAAGTTTTTTTTCTTTTGGCTAGAATACGGTGAAGACGGAGGGTTATGTTTTCTCTTTTTGTGTGTATCAGTAATTTTGTAGCATGGGCTATCCATTCTTGTACATTACCAGGTAGTTTATTTGGGAATAAATAAAATAAGACAAAGCAAATAAACAAATGGTTCTTTTTTATGGCGAATATTGTTCAATTGCATGAAACATGTTGTGCTTGTGATGTGCATTTCGCCTACAAAAATGGATTTCCAAGGCGCTGTGATTGGATGTAAATGTTAGCTTCATGATGTCATGGACGGTGACGTTGATGGACCTCAAGGTTCCCATTGTGCCTCATCGCTACTAATTCATCTCATGCAAATCAGAAGTTTCTCATCAAGGTGAAAAAATGAAAGAGATATATCTGGTGAGTTTATTGGTATAAGTCGATTGGTCTATACCTGCATGTGATGTATTCTAGACACTTACAAATTTGCTGTAAACAAGGCCGGTGCCGCTGCGGCTTTCACAGTCGATGTGCTCATATACCCCCTCGACACATTGAAAACGCGGTACCAAAGCCAGGATTTCATAAAATCTCCCATCACAAAGCCTCTCGCCTTGAGGGGTCTCTACCAAGGCATCGGCAGTGTGATACTCGCAACTCTCCCAGCAGGTGTGTAACAACAGCCCTTCTGTCCCATCTTGAAAAAGCATCACATACGTATTTCAAGTGAGTTAACTAACATGTTTCCTCAGCCGGTGTATTCTTTTCAACATATGAGACTGCAAAAGGCGTCTTCGGGCGACATCTCCCCGTGCCCGAGCCAGTAGTCCATTCCCTCGCCTCAGCAGTCGCCGAGATGGCCTCGTGCCTCGTCCTAACACCAGGAGAAGTCATCAAGCAGAATGCCCAAATGCTGCAAGCCAAGGAAGCAAGCACATCGACGTCATTGATGGCATTCCGCCGCCTACTCACGACTGGTTCTGCGAGTGGGCTGTTCACTGGGTATTCAGCCCTAGTTGCACGCAACCTGCCCTTCACAGCACTTCAGTTTCCCTTATTCGAGAATTTACGGAAACGTCTATGGAATCAAAGATTAAATTCAAGAAAAGATCAGACAAAGGGTGTAGGAGAAACGGGGTTGATTGCGGGAGCCAGTGCAGGCATGGCTGGAGGTCTTGCTGCGTTTGTGACCACGCCGAGCGATGTGATTAAAACGCGGATGATGGTGAGAGCTGATAGCGAGCACGATCTGAATAAATCGGAGCAGCGGCATAGAAGGATACCTTTCACGAAGACTGTGAAAGATGTCTGGCATGAGAGGGGGGTCCGGGGGTTTTTCCGTGGAGGAGCATTTCGCTCTGCTTGGACGGCGGTAGGTAGTGGTTTGTATCTAGGCATGTATGATGCTGCAAAGCTGTGGCTAGAGAGGAGAGGATAGCTGGGATAGCTGTCACCAATGTTTTACGAAGGGAAATACTACATGTAGTCAGAAGTCCACAGACTGCGTGAGGTTTAAGTGTTAGAACGGGATGTAAAGGTAAGCTTCAATTTTATATTATATTTCAGCATCTGCTACTATCGTTGCATTGTTGTAGCATCTGCTCCTGTAACTATTTTCTTCTATGGCGTGCATTCTAATATTATCACTACCTCTATGCATAGCTTCCAATTTGAGACGCGGGATGCGGCCTAGTATTTCCCTTACGAAGGGTGAATGGCGGAGGGCAAGCGCATGGATGAACCTTTAGCTTATTTATTTAATTAATTAATTATTAAATAATAAAGTCTTTTTAATAAAAGTCCTTAGTTTTATTAATAAGTTTTAAAGTTTATTTTATTTTTAAAAATTTATATTTCTAATATTTAAAAGAATTGTTATTATTATTTAAGTAAGGTTAACTAAATAAGTTAATTATTTTATTATTTTACTTTAAATTAATTAATTTAGCACTAGTTCTAGTTTACCAGCGAGCGAGGCTGGCGATTCTAGGCAGTCTTCAATCCCAAGGGCCGAGTGTCCTCTTTGAGAAAAAATAAAGGAAAAAAAGGGAAATCTCACGGCCTGTACATCTCCCGTCATCGCTAGGCAACGACCAGCCGAAAACCACGCCTGGCCCCTTGTGTTTTTCGCTTGCCAATGTCTTGATCGCTCACTCGCATTGGATCTGGCGGTATCACCATCTCCAGCGCGCCCCTCCGCCCTTGGCTAGTCCAAGTCCCAGTACGTCACCAGCTTGGGCCCTTTTCTCCTGCACCCAACGCGGCTGGCCTTTTGCTACACCATCGACGCTCTCTCGCGAGACCGTCTCGACCACCATGGCTTCGTACGGCCACCGAATGGCCCCGCAGGCTCACCATCCTCACGCTGGATATCCAGCCTCGGGCGCTCCGCCGGCAAACGTGCCCCCGGCCGGCACCTTTGCCCCAGGGACCAAGATCCAGGTCGGCAACCATCGCGTCCAGATCCAGAAATACCTGTCCGAGGGCGGCTTTGCCCATGTCTACCTCGTCAAGCTGCCCAAGGCCGTCGACGGCACCGATCTGGCGGTCCTGAAGCGAGTTGCCGTGCCCGATAAGGAGGCTCTGCGGGGCATGCGAACCGAAGTCGAGACGATGAAGCGTCTAAAGGGGCATCAGGCCATTGTCACATACATTGACTCCCACGCGTCGGAGCTCAAAGGCGGCGGCTACGAGGTCTTTCTGCTCATGGAGTTTTGCGATGGCGGCGGTCTGATTGACTTTATGAACACCCGCCTGCAACACCGCCTGACCGAGCCCGAAATCATCAACATCTTTGCGGACATCGCCGAGGGCGTTGCCTGTATGCATTATCTCAAGCCAGCGCTGTTGCATCGAGATCTCAAGGTCGAAAACGTTTTAATCACTAATCATGCTGGCGGCAAGCGGTTCAAGCTCTGTGACTTTGGTTCAGCTGCTCCTCCGCGACCGGCTCCCTTGACGGTAGTCGACTGCCGCCTGATGGACGAAGATGTCCAGAAACACACCACATTACAATATAGAAGCCCCGAAATGGTCGACGTTTACCGAAAACAGCCGATTAACGAAAAGTCGGATATCTGGGCATTGGGTGTTTTGCTATACAAGCTCTGCTACTACACGACCCCCTTTGAAGACCAAGGGCAGCTGGCCATCTTGAATGCAAGCTACAGATACCCCAGCTACCCAGTCTTTTCAGACAGATTAAAGAAGCTCATTGGTATGAATAACACTGCCACCGACTTTTAACTCCTTGACAGCTTCATTCGCTAAACCAAACTAGCTTCAATGCTCAAGGAGAACATGCAATCGAGACCCAACATATACCAAGTTCTAAAAGAGGCCTGTGCTATGCAGGGCCGAGAAATGCCAATTCACGATGTGAGTTCCTTTGCTATACTACCACCGCAATATCTGTCTCGAAGCTAATGCCATCACCTTAGATTTATTCCGGCCGAGCGAGCGCAGATCCCAGATTGAACCAACCTACCGTCACAGACCCGAAATCACATCAGGCACCTGTTGTGGGCGCCGTCTTCTCGTCAGCACCCGTCAATGAACAGCAGACCCTCCCGGATATTACACCCATGAGAAGAGGCCGTCCGACTCCTTCACCATCTCGGACACCTGGACCAGGAAAAGTCACCGATGGCGATCCATTTGCTGCCTTGGACTCCAAGGCTACCGCTGCTGCCGCCGTCCGCAGGGCAGATCCCGATGAGCTCTCATCCAGATTCCCTCGTCTCGACGAATTTTCCTTGCTTCTTGACCAACAGACGTTCAATTTTGACAACACTGGCCCGATTTCGCCTCGTCCCCAGAAAGATTTGAGTACAAAGGTTGCTGAACGATTGGCCGACGCAGCATTTGCATCTTCGAGAAGTCCCGCGCCTTCAACCCCGGTCCCAAGACCACACTCTGTTGCGCCAATCTCGTCTCGCCCTCCGCCGGATATCTCACCGCCAACCCTGGACGTCAAGCCTCTTCCAAAGTTGGTGCCATCATCCACGGCGCAGTCTGGAATTAGCCGAGCACAGTCTATCATTACGAGCAACCCTGAGCTCAAGGCCATTGCTAATAAGACGGCAACCTCTTCATATGTTTCCACGGGGACAATGACGGAAAAATCTCCCGACAAGGAGCGACCGGTAGACGTGGAGAGAAGCAGACGTTCTTTCGATGTGGAAACCCCACGTGCGCCTGTAGCCCGTGCTGCGGCGGCTCTCACGGGACAAAACACCGCCAAGCGACACTCTGGTGGAAATTGGGCGTCGGGAAACACTCGATCTTCGTCTGTCCAGCCGCGGTTGAGCCAGAGCACTGTTGCCTCGTCCAGGACGTCACTGGATATTCTCAGCTCCGCAGAAGACTTGATAGACATGCGATCTTCCGCTGGCGATCTTGTCAACAAGCCGCGGCCTCTTAGCTCTACATTCGAGCCGAGCACCCTGGAGTATTTACGCGAGAGGGAGAATGCATCCAAGCCTTCTTCTCGACAGTCCTCCACGAACCGACACTCGTCTTGGCATCTGCCCTTGTCGCATGCCAACACCGGCGGAGCAAGCTCGAAGGAACCGACTTCTCGTAGCTCAAGAAGCATCGAAGTGCAAGAATATGATCAAGACCGCCAAGGCCAACGTTCCGAGGTGGCAGCCTCGACTTCCAAGAACTTGCTTGCAGGCAAATTTGGTGGTGCATTCAAGAGGTTTGAAAACAATGCCTCGTCTGATAATGAGCCAGAGAGATCTTCATCGCCCGGCAAAGAGCAGGGACGCCGTGCCTTGACGCCCATCCAGGGTTCTGAAGCAGCTGATGACCGAAGCGATACAGACGGAGAGGGACACGCCCACATGACAGCCGAGATGCGTCGTGATATGGAGCGTCGCCAGTTAGAAGAGGAGGAAGCTAGAGTAGAAGCTGCGCAAGCAGAATACCGGAAAAGGGTTGCAGAAGGCAGCGGATCGCCCTCCAAGGCTCGACCCCCCACGGCTCCAAAGCCGATGGGAGCAGCACGCGCTGCCAGTATACAAAACAGGGTCCAGAGCCTGCTGAGCGAGGAACAAAAGCCGGCAAACGTGCCGCGGACAGCCCATGGGTACGGAAGGTTTACGGATTCTGAGCCGGCACCTGAGGAGGCAGACAAGCCCCGTCCTGAGGTGAAGCGCAAGCCAGCCGTGGCTGCGAAGCCTATCGTTGTAGATCCACGACGAAGTGACGGATCCTTGGTCGATGGTAAACAAGCTGCAGGCTCGGCATCAGCTTCTGCGAGCGTGTCGGCCAAGCCTCAAGCCAAGCCAACAGCCCCGAAGAAGCCTGTTCACCTGAACAACATACCAACAGGAGGTCGACAGGCCTCCTCGCCAACCAAAGAGAGGGACGACCCCACATTTGAGCGTTTGATAGCAATCGACCTCCCCGGGCAGCCGATACTGGAGATGACTTCGCGGGACAGGGAGGACTACATTGAGGATTTTACGAAGCGTTTCCCTAGTCTGAGCACTATAGAGTTGAGCCGAGAGGGTGGACGGGAGAGGGACGGGACGCGATGATAGAGATTTTTTTGTTTTATTTTTTTATACTTTTTTTTTTATTAACCAACCAACATTTCACCCTTGTCTCGGCAAAAAGCATCGGTTCGAAATATTACGAAGCAGATACAGAATATATTGAAGCATATATGGGAGCATTTCATCGGTCGTGGAAATACAATATTTAATCTCCCCCTTTCTCTTCTCCTTTGTCTCTGTGATGTATGTGATTTGCCTGTAGAGGGCCTTCTGTCTTTTCTTTTCTTCTTTTCTCTCTTTTTCTTTTCTACTTGATGGTATTTCACCTAATTCTACTGAGAGTTGGGAATTATGCATCAAACCAACATTATGCATTAAAAGCGCCCATCATGCGCCTTATCTTATCAACTAAGGTACCCATAATATTTTTTTTTGCCATTGAGAGACTGCATCTGGATCTTGGATTGATCTTTCGTACGCCGTAACAAAAAAACATCTACACACAGCAACACAAGATGGCGAAAAGAAAGAGACAAGCCGCTGCCAGCAGCGAACCTGTTCCAGAGCCTGTAGCTGCCAAAAAGTCAAAAACTGTCGACGAAAAGACAAAACCTACCAAGAGCAACACAAAGGCTGTTGAAGCAAAGACGGAGAAAAAGACGAAGCCTACGACAAGCAGCAGCAAGTTTGTGGAGGAAACTATTCAGATCGTCGCCGGATCCTACGACCGAGTTCTCCATGGATTGACGGCCACAATTGGCGCCAAGGGAGACGCCGAGTTCGCCGATACGTTCCTCTTCAATGCGCACGCATCCGCCATTCGATGCGTTGCCGTGTCTCCCATCTCACCCCCGGTTCCGGGCCAAACGCAAAAGGTCCTTTTGGCCTCTGGCGCCACGGACGAGCGAGTTCACGTTTACAATTTGTCGGCGCATCCACCTAGCAAGAAGAATCGCGATGCATTGGCCAGCGTGGCCCCGAGACCGATCCTGGAGAACCCCAAGAACAGAGAGCTGGGAACGTTGCTACACCACGACTCGACAATTACGGCGCTGAGATTTCCTACGAGATCAAAGCTTCTTTCGGCGAGTGACGATTCGACGATTGCTGTGACGCGTACACGAGATTGGTCCATGTTGAGTAATATCAAGACACCGAAGCCAAAAGCTCATGGCCGACCAACTGGTGATACAGCGCCGTTCGGTGGCACACCTTCTGGAGTCAACGACTTTGCGATCCATCCGAGCATGAAGCTGATGATTAGTGTTGGCAAGGGGGAGAGATGTATGCGACTGTGGAATCTCGTCACCGGAAAGAAGGCGGGTGTGCTGAGCTTTAGCAAGGAGATGCTGAGAGAGGTCGGAGAGAGCAAACATGCTAGTGGCGAGGCACGAAAAGTGACTTGGGGAACGGCAGACGGGGCAGACGAGTTTGCAGTGGGATTCGACCGGGATATCATCGTTTTCGGCATGGACAGTGTGCCAAAGTGCCGAGTCATGCCGACGACCAGGGTCAAGATACACCATTTTACCTATGTCACGATCGATGAGGAGACTGGAGATGCGCTGCTGGCTGTGTCGACGGAGGATGGCCGCGTTGCTTTTTTCTCGACAAAGGCAGACGACCTCTCAAAACCCGAGCCTTCAGACAAGGACGACAAGAAGGCGTCCGAAGGAGCTTTCCCCGTCGCCAAGTTCGTCGGCTACGTAGGAGGAGAAGGCGTTTCAGGCAGAATCAAGGACTTTGTCGCCATACCGAGCACGGGTAACCCAGGGACATTTTACGTAGTTGGGGCGAGCAGCGACGGCAAGATTAGGGTGTGGACGGTGCAGGCGGAGGAGCTGCTGGAGGGGGCGAGGAAGAAGGACGCCAAGATTGAGAAGCCGGCGGGAGAGCTAAGGGGGACGTATGTGACGCATAATCGTGTTACGTGCTTGGCGGCGTTTTTGATGGTGGAGAGGCCGGAGGGGGCGGAGGATAGTGAGGAGGAGGTTGGGGAGGAGGAAGAGGCTGAGAGTGATAGCGAGGAGGAGGATGAGTAAGGGGTTGTTTTGTAGGCCTATTGAAGCTGCATAAGGATAGGATATGCAGATTAATGAATACAATTTACCTAGTATATACTGATTTGCTGATGCTTCTCTGGCTAATCTGGAGATAAGTAGGAGTTGCCCTCGATATTTCCTGGATCATTTAGAGATGGCCAGGCGCAACATGTGCTCGATATCTACACTCCGCATACAGAAGCATTTGTAAACTTGAAACTGGAAATGCGTCATTTCAAAGGCCTGCGGGTTCTTCAAATTATGTTTGCTGTGATCCTGTGAGCGAGACCATTCTGTTGCAATCTTCACAGGGCTGATATAAACTACTTTAGGTATAACCGATTTTAACACCAATAATCGCCATCACGATGCGCAACTCCAGCCTCACACTGTGCCAGCTCCGCAGAATCAATATATTACACCCATTAGACAAAATTCATTTCACAGCCGGTAAGAGGGTGTATAAAGAGAGAAGGAAACAGACTATCACCAGCCGATTAAATGCAGATGGGGCAATTGGAGTCAACGGAACAAGATTATATTCCTATTTGAAAAAAAAAAAAAAAGACCCAAAACAACCACAAGCCACCCACAAACTATTTCGCCGTCCCTTTTCCATCATCACCACTACCATTGTAATAGTAGTTAGTAGTGAATGTACACTTGGAGTGGACTTGCTTCGTCAACCGATAGTTGCGTTTCTCTATAGATCTTTGGTTAGAGTCAAGAATGTGAAAAAAAAAAGCGAGAAGAAACAGCGAAAAGAAGCAAGAATGTGAAAAAAAAACAGCGAGAAGAAACAAGAATGTGAAAAAACAGCGAGAAGAAACAGCGAAAAGAAGCAAGAATGTGAAAAAA